GACGTATAATACCCTTCAAGTAAAACGCTTTACTGATCAAGAGGAGTAACGACTAATTACAGGATTATGCCTTTGAACGCCTTTACTACCTTCCATCCTTATTTCATGGAATTATCGGAGAACATGTCAGATAAAACACATTAAAATTCCTGTATTTTTTTTCAGAGTTGAAAACTATGATCAACAAAATACATCAAGTCAGGTGATTTTAGCAAAAGTATAGGGGCATGGCTATTTGTTACAGAATTGTTTCAGACCATGTCCATCACTTTCACATAAAAAGCAAATCAGAATAATTTATTTCTTCACAGTTATGTTAAATTAAAATGTAAATGAGTTCCATTCATAATTTATTCCTTAAATTTACATATAATAAAACAAGAGGCCCATGGGCCACATCGCTCACCTGAGAAGCTTTGACCATTCTGTTCTTCACTAGATTTCCCCCTTGTAATACATATTGTGACCCCACCCTACCCCACTGATCATAATTTAGACAATTTGAAATCTACACTACCCCAGGATGCTTCCACATAAGTTTCAGCTTAACAAAGATTGTCCAATATATTTCTATGTAAAACTTTGATTCCCCATTGTGGCCCAGCCCTAACCCCCCCCCCCCCCCCCCCTCGGGTCATGATTTGAACAATTTAGAATCTACACTACCCCAGGATGCTTCCACATAAGCTTCAGCTTTTCTGGCCCAGTGGTTATTAAGAAGAAGATTTTTCCTATATATTTCTATGTAAAACTTGGATTCCCCATTGTGGCCCAGCCCAACCCTCGGGTGTCATGATTTGTACAATTTAGAATCTACACTACCCCAGGATGCTTCCACATAAGCTTCAGCTTTTCTGGCCCAGTGGTTATTAAGAAGAAGATTTTTCCTATATATTTCTATGTAAAACTTGGATTCCCCATTGTGGCCCCGCCCAACCCCCGGGGGTCATGATTTGTACAATTTAGAATCTACACTACTCCAGGATGATTCCACATAAGTTTCAGCTTTTCTGGCCCAGTGGTTCTTGAGAAGAAGATTTTTAAAGTTTTTTCCTATATATTTCTATGTAAAACTTGGATTCCCCATTGTGGCCCCGCCCAACCCCCGGGGGTCATGATTTGTACAATTTAGAATCTACACTACCCCAGGATGCTTCCACATAAGTTTCAGCTTTTCTGGCCCAGTGGTTCTTGAGAAGAAGATTTTTAAAGATTTTTCCTATATATTTCTATGTAAAACTTGGATTCCCCATTGTGGCCCCGCCCAACCCCCGGGGGTCATGATTTGTACAATTTAGAATCTACACTACCCCAGGATGTTTCCAAATAAGTTTCAGCTTTTCTGGCCCAGTGGTTCTTGAGAAGAAGATTTTTAAAGTTTTTTCCTATATATTTCTATGTAAAACTTGGATTCCCCATTGTGGCCCCGCCCTACCCCCGGGGGTCATGATTTGAACAATTTAGAATCTACACTACCCCAGGATGCTTCCACATAAGTTTCAGCTTTTCTGGCCCAGTGGTTCTTGAGAAGAAGATTTTTAAAGGTTTTTCCTATATATTTCTATGTAAAACTTGGATTCCCCATTGTGGCCCCGCCCAACCCCCGGGAGTCATGATTTGAACAATTTAGAATCTACACTACCCTAGGATGCTTCCACATAAGTTTCAGCCTTTCTGGCCCAGTGGTTCTGGAGAAGAAGATTTTTTAATAAACCCACCCTATTTTTGTCTTTTCTTGATTATCTCCCCTTGTTAAGGGATTTGGCCCTTCATTTTAACAATTTAAATTCCCCTTCACCCAAGGATGCTTTGTACCAAGTTTGCTCAAAATTGGCCCAGTGGTTCTTGAGAAGAAGTCGAAAATGTGAAAAGTTTACGGACGGACAGACGGACAGACAGACGGACGGACGGACAGACGGATGGACGGACGACGGACACAATGTGATCAGAAAAGCTCACTTGAGCCTTCGGCTCAGGTGAGCTAAAAACTGGACAAGAGCACCTCAATATACACTGTACATAGTGTTGGTTAAGTAGTGATCCAAACGTTGACCCTTAAATTTGCAAGTGAAAGGCCTGCCAGATGCAAAAAAAAACCCTCTGTCAATTTAAGGAGGAATTTAATATGGTTTAGTGGGCCATATAGGTTAAGTCTGGGTAGTTCAATAAGTGATATGTTAATTAATTAACTGCATTACCTCTTTCTTATTTTTAAGGTCATATACATATAACTGTACACTGATCAAATTGTCTATGGATTTTCAGTTTACCAGTTCATATCCCAAGATGCACATAACAGAATTGAGTCGGGTCATAAGGGATGCTTATTACTCCATGGCTCCTGATCCCACCTCTGATTTCAGAGGTCTGCATTGTTTCTTAAATGAGAATGATCAATCACTGTAATCAATTTAATATGCATTAATTTCATTCTTTATTTATTAATTTGTCAAATTGGATTGAAATAAATTAACAATTATTTCATCTTTTAAAGTAAACTTGCTAGATTTTGTTTATTTCATATTTGCAAAAAAAAAATCAGATACTTCAGGCCCTCAATACATAATACACGCAAGTGAAGTCAAACTACTGGTATACCAGGTATTGTGTAGTTATTTGAGAGTGTACTTAAAGAGACTTTGATTTGTTCAAGAAAATGTTGCTCCGATATAATCATATTTGTATATGAAGCATGTCCACTGCAGCATCACCTATGCAAGTTTAGTCACAATAGGGTGTATAGTTACTTGTTAATGAACCTGCTTCAAAAACTTTGACCTGGCCATTCATGCAGAAAATATAGGTCAGACCTGGCCATTCATGCAGAAAATATAGGTCAGATTAAACATCTGTTGCAAGAGTAATGTACATCCTTAGTTGCATCACCCATGCTAGTTTGCACTTGGTTGGAGTCTAGTTACTTTGGAATGGACCTGCTCCTGGAAGTTTCCTGGTAATATGGATGTCAATGACGTGAGAAAACTTTATCTCACTAGCTTCATTGAGATGAATAAACCTATACAACAAAATGAGCAGCCTTTGACTCAAGTGACTTAAAAATACAAAGTGAAGAGTTGCTCAAATGGAAGAAAGTTCATTTAATGACATTAACATCCATTCCAAATTCAAAGTAAATGAGATCAAAATAAGTGTACCCACAAAAATATCAAGATGGTTCAGTATAAAGGTTAATTGCTATTACAGACAAGGCAATTCAAGCAATTGTATTTTTTCTGTTTAAGTCTTTTGAATCAGAAATATGAGATTCTCAATATCTTAAAAAAAAATTAAATGGAAGATATGTTATAATTGTATGAAAATAATGTAAAAAAATAATTCTTTTTTCACAAACCTTGAAAAATACTGAGAGATGAAAAACTATTCCTGTATGAACAAATAAAATGTATGCATCAACTAAGACTACCGTACCTAAACATGTATTAAATTGGGGATGGGGAATTAGAATCAGATATCGTAGTCATCAATAATCAATTGCAATTTGCTGCATTATCAAACAGGCAATGAACAGACTTAATTTTTGGTTGACTTTGAATGTGACATTTTCAATCATATAAAATGCAACATAATGATACTAATAATGAACATATAAATTTGTATTGAAACATAAATTCTTGTTTATTTGTTACAGTGTCTTTGTTATTAGCACTTATTTTTCACATTATTTCCACAAGTAACAAAAAACCCATTACAAATACATGCATGTTCCTATGTACATATACATATTAAAAGGACGTATATGTTCTTTGAAGAAAAAAATGGGGCATAAAAAAATAATAACATCTTGCAGAGTCAGGGAACAAGAAAAAACTGGCCGAATCCTTGGAGTTTGTTGTCATCACATTGGCACGTGAGTGAACAGGTATGAGACTGATTCACCATTATGTGTTCGTCGAATGGATTCTGCCAGCATGGTGGATATATCAATGCACTGAAAAACAGAAAATGAAATTATTAGTCAATAAAATTAACTCAGAGAAGATATCATAAAAACTTAATAAAATCAATCAACATAAGTCTTTATACTTGAAAATGTCATTCCACACTGCAAGTTTGTTGTGATGCAGAGAGTGTCATTAACTGTACACCTTATTTCCAACTGTGTGTAAAATGTATGAACTTTTTTTTGCAAAATTCATGTATCTTTACCGTTTTCTTTATATTAAAGTTCTGTACATTATATAATTTTATTTAATACTTCGTTTGTAATTACTCTTTTGAAATGTATACTGTAAATTATATTTCTGTAGTTTGTTTAATTCATTACATATGCATAAAAGAGTGGCGGAAATGACTGATAGGTATCAAGTTGATTGTTGTGTTTATGTGTGTGGAAATCTATAAAGATTTTGTTCTCTAATTGAATCCTGAATGGAATAATGTGCACCCAGTGGTTTTGTTTTTCTCTAGATTATTATATAAGATGAAGAATACACTAATGTGTCTGTACATTGTGATTATTAAATAATTTGTTTTTATAATTAATGCTTTGTTTTTCTCAAGTGCATCAGGTGCAATGTGATAATGAATTCATAGAGCAAATATCAATAATAGCAGTGTTAATCACTTGCAATGAAGAGATTTTTGTTAAGCACTTTGAAAAATCATAATTGTAATGATCACATCACATGATCAACAGTCATGTGATTTCACAACAACTATGTTATTAATATAGCCGAGAGAACCCTCTACATGTACATTGTATACATGTACATACCTTACAAATCAAAATAAGAACCAATCTCAATATATTCATAATGTGTTGAATGCATCTTATAGCTTTAAGCAGTATTAAAATAGTTGCATGAGCATTATGATATCAACACCCAACAATAACTGAACATCCTTGAGGATGAAACCCCATCCTCCCACCTGCATTAATGGAATTAATGGACAAGTGAATAAAAAAAATGAGCCAAGAACCTGAAGGTCTCTGAATAATTCAAACTGGACATTGATTTACATTTTGTAAGATCCCATCAAGTACAGTATATCTAATCCAACCATGCAATTTTCTAATAACCTAGAAACTCGACTAATAAAAATTATCAAACCACATGCATGCTACTTGATGCAAAAGTAACAAGAGATGTTTGTAAAGCACTTATGACCCCACCCCAAATATTACTGGAATTTTTCTAAGTGCAGGGGACATAACTCTGTCAAAATCGGCTCAATCGTATCCAGAACAGAACTTGACCTAGGTATTCATATGATAAATCTTTGTACCAAATTTCATTTCAAAAAGCTTTCACATGTGTCATCTTTTCTTGCCCTGTGGTTCTAGAGAAGATTTTCAAATGAAACCCACCCAACTTTTACTTTTTTTTTTAATTATCTCCCCTTAAAAGAGGTAATGACCATTCATTTGAACAAACTTGAATCTCATTTACTTTTTAGTTTGGTTGAAATTGGCAAAGTGGTTCTGGATCTGTAAAGATGATAAGGACAGACAACAGACAAATCTCACTTTAGCCTTCAGCTCAAGTGAGGTTAAACAATGTATTGCATATTACATGTATTTCATTTAGTAGTTTGGACAATATGGACCATAAATAGAGACAGGGTAGCTCAGAATTTAAAGCACAGAATTATTGATACAGGAGTCTAAGGTTTGATTCCTGTTCCGTTCCCATATTATTCACTTTCATTTCCAAATACAGGAAGAATTCTATGAAAAACACAAGTACAAAGAACAAGGTTCACTTTTGCCTTATTTGGCCCTGTGAATATCTGAATAAAGTGCCACGCCACAGCATGATACACCCGTCAAAAAAATACAATTTTCTTGAACAGTTTAGCGTGCAAGAAAATCACGTCAACCTTGATTCTAAGATTTCCATGATTTTCCATTCCTTAAAATATGTATCCACTCCCTGTGATGTAGGCATTAATTATAATAAATATTACATAATAAATAGATTTCTATGCTGGTTGTGTTAGACCTTGTCAAATGCCCATCATATTAAACAATATCAAATTAGTCTTAACATCTTAATCTATATACCAAATTAATTTTGAAAAGAAAAGGCCGGCCATCAAATGACATATGCTATAAACTGACCAGCAGTTCTTCTGTCTAATCCCAAAAGGATACAGATAAGACTGCTTGATCAGATAGCCTTCCTACATTGAACTCATTAATTAATCTTTAACTGGATGCTTGTCTACTCATTACTATCAAGAGATGAATGGGTCTGCACTATCTACCATAAATTTTTTTTAAACATATAAAAATATTCAAAGATTTTTTTTGGTTGAGATTTAATGTCCGACAGGTTTTAATATGTAATTATTCATATGGACATGCTGATTCCACCCCACCCCTTAAAATTAGTTTTTAAATTAATAATATTATACAATATCAGATTAGTCTATTATGCAATATCAAATTAGTTTTAATTACTTTTCATCAAATTCATTTTAAAACTTAGGCTAGCCAACAAGAGCTATTTTTAATCCAACAGGCTTACCCATCTGTCCAATACCCAAGGGATATTGATAACACTGATCCTCTATCAGTTATATCCTCACACTCAAAACTCATTAATTTCTCTCTAATTTGACATACAATTTTCTGTTATCAAAATTCTTCTTGACCAGTGCTTGATAATAACTCTCAAGGGAGAGGTAGGATTTCTCTAACATACATTATATTTGTTATAGATTGCTGTCAAGTATATGCTTAAAATAATAAGTATTTTCTTGATTTAACACTTTTTTAATAAAGACAGTGCAATACTCTTATATTATTTGGGATGCTTAAATGAATAGTAAAAAGACATATTTTTATTTAAATTTCTTAAATTAAAGGTCACAGTGACCTTGAAATAGGTCGCGACTCACCTTCTACCTAAGATGCATAAACTGGCCAAGTTTGATGATTGTAAGTCTTATAGTTTTCTAGTTATGGGCCGGAAAGGATTTTTCCATATTTGGCGATAACTTCTTAATAAAAGGTCAGAGCGACCTACTTTTTGTGCGCGACACACCTTCTACCCAAAATGCATCAGACGACAAAGTTTTATAATCCTAGGCCTAATAGTATTTAAGTTATGAGCCGGAAACGAAAAAGCTAACAGACAGACGGACAGACACGAAGCCTATAACATAATACGTCCCGTCTTAAGACGGGCGTATAAAAACTGAAGCAGCATAGTTTTAGTTTACAATGCATTGAATATCACTCAGATCTTTGGTTAATGCGTATCTATCAAAAATGACGTAATTTTCTGGCTAGGCAATGCATTATGACGTCACGAAATGCGTAAATTTCCTCATATTCTGAAAAAGTCTAATAAACCGGCCGATTTTAAAGCTGTTTTTTGATTTTTAACATAAAGCACAACCTCTGATCTAAAATATGCAACTAGTAAATGATAGAACTGGTTCCAAGGATTAAAAGACACGTTTTAGTTTTCCCGTTTACCTAAAAATTCAAGAACATTGCAATTTCATAAAGCCAGTTCTCCAAGACCTGGACTCTTATGAGAAAATTTTTAATAGGATATTAAACCACTAAGTCTCTATTTTATTTTTAATGCTTCAAATGGAAAATCAAGTGTTAATCAATCAATTAGTATATCTACAGGGCCATTTTATGCATAAAATGAACCGACCTCTTTGATAAGAAAATCTCCTCTAAATCTTTAAGGTTCATGTGAGCTACATCCAGACTTAAATATGTAAAACATTCTTAATAAATAAAACTTGCATGAACTTCAAAGTATGTAATAATTTGAACAAACTGACAAACAATAAGATAAAGTTTACATAAGAAAACAGCCATGAAACAAAAATATAAAACTGTAACATTATCAAATGCTGGAAAGTAATAGTTGCTCTCTCTGACAAATGTGGGACCACCTTGTTGAAAAAAGTAAGCTTAGCATGATGCAATATAACAATGATAGCAATTATACAGCATGGAAGGATTTAGAATAAACCCATTTTTAAAAAATGCTAATTTAAAAGATGTCAATTCTTGCAAACAACCTACAGCTTGCCACTTTGAAATAAGCATCAATAATTATAATATCCATGCATCTCTGTTCTATATGATAACGTGTACTGTTATTCAGGGATAAAGCTAAATCCTTGTAGGACAGAAATAGTGTAAGCTCTTCTCCATATGAGCTAAAAATGCTGCATGCAGAAATTCTTGAAAGACAACAGCAAATGCAGAACATAAACCTACAATGAGGAACAACAGATGATTTACAACGGCACATGGCTGAACAGATAGGAAACTGATTCTCCGTTATGTGTCCTTCTGACGGCCTCCGCCAAGATGATGGAGATGTCTATACACTGAAATAGTCCACTTCACTATTATATAATATAAAATTGTTTGGAGACATTGATCAGCATCAGGTAGGTGGCATTGAAATATTCAGTGAACACATACAAAGTAGTGCCATAAACAAGTGTGTGATTTATCATTTAAGGGGGGGGGGGGTGAAATATTCAAGTATTATAGTGATAGGTTCAAAACTTACTCAAAAAAAAAAGAGAGAGAATTGCAAAATGTGGTGGTTTTCTAATAGGTGCCAGTAATATGTAAAACAGTGAAGAAAGTAGCAAACTGGGAGTATCTGGCAATTTGAAGAGAAAGAGTTTTGGAGAAGTTATGGTCCTTTGCTTAATTCAAATCCTATATGAATAAATATATTATTCAATTTATTTTGTTTTTACCTTTCTGAATCCAAATTGCCTCCCAGTTTGATTTAGATTGCATAAAGTACATAATCTTGAGCATGTTAACCTACTTTTATTTTTGGGGCTGACTTCATTCTTTCTTCCTGAGGAATCGTGTTTGTCACAACAACAGCTTCGAACACAGAGTTGTTGATGCGAGATATGGCAGGTCCTGAAAATATTCCATGAGTGCAGATGGCATAGACTTTGGCTGCCCCTGCTTCTACCAGCCTGAAAAATGACAGATTCAAAGATGATAGAAAATGAAATCTCTTTGCATCACTTATTTATTTTATGAATGGTTTTTCTTGTCTTTATCTTTTCTCAGTCAACTTGACAAATATCCAACTTTCATATGGTCTGGAAGTATTCAAAATTTTGGCTAAAAAAAAAGAAAAACAAAGCTGGATGATTTAGATTTTCTTTCTTTGGAAACCAAAAACAATCAATTATACCATCGTGTCTATGAACATAAATCCATGTTATCCTAGAGAATCAGCTTTGTCTTACTAATACACAGAAGTTGTGAAGCGATATTATTGGTTTGCCTACTTTTCTGCAGCGTGACAGAAAGTTCCGCAGGTGTCGGCCATGTCGTCCACCAGTATCGCGATCCTGTCCTTCACGTCCCCGACCAGGACCATCGTCGCCACTTCATTGGCTTTCTTCCTCTCTTTGTGGATCAGCGCAAAGTCAACGTTCAATCTGTCTGCAATCGAAGTTACTCTGTGGGAAAAAAATTGTAAATTATATTAGATATGCTTTTGATTATACAAAATCTACAAATTGGACAGACATATGCCACAAAGTAAGCTAACAGTGCTATAAAAGTCTATCTTATTTTGTAGATTTTAAGAAGGAAAACAAACAGAGGGAAAAAATTTACAAAGAAAAGGTAATTTCAAATCTAAGGGTACTGTAAACCACTTTTTATTTGGGAGAACTTTTACATTACAGTGGGTCCCGTTTAAACAGATAGTCAGGTTGTCAGAATAGTTTTATCCGTATAGCCGAATATTGGAATAGCCGATTGCAATATTTGCCGTACAAACGGCAGATCTACAGTACATATAAGTAACAATTTCAACATGGTTGTATTACGTACCTGTACTTTCGTTTTCGTTTGATGAATGTACCAAGTCAGGAAATGAATTATTTCAGGTTTTAATAACAAGTTTAATATGATTTTGTATGAATAATTTGTTTTTAATTGAAGTATGAAACTTATTTTCATCTTTATTTAGCACCAGGCACCTTTTTACATTCACCCCATTCGTTGATGGCCTCCATTTTGGAAAACGGAAGTTGATTGAATACATGACTATATTACGTAAACCATTTTTTTCCGGATTGCTGATTAATAAATTTTAAAAAATGTTTATTGTTTCATCTTTATCTGTATTTGTATGTCATTTTCAAGCACATAATAGATATATACGTATATTTATTTGGGGTGCATGTGATTTTATCGCAAATCTCGCCTGAAAGTATTACACTGCGGTTGAAATAGCGTTGCCTTGAGTGATGACACTGTTGGATTTGACAATTGAACAATTTGAATCACGGATTGCATTCTATAAAACAAGCGCTTTAATTGGTTGATATGGACCCGCCCACTCTCGTGCAGTATCCTTTGCCTTTGTATTGTAAGATGGAAAGTGTCCAACGGCCTTGTGATGGTCGAAAACCGATGGTGACTTTTTGAACAAAAAAAAACAAAAACAAAGACTTACTATGAAATCACTTTATAGCATGTGATATATTCCTATCGCAGACTGTACATGTATATTGTTTGATGACAAACACTAATTTCATTTTATATTACATGTAATTCTGCCGATTTTCTATTCACGGCATTTTCAATTTTCGGTGGTGCAAATTGAAAACGCGTTCGTGCGTAGAAAGCATATCCAGCTAATATCGGAGCACCCGTTGAAAAAATATAAATTCATGTGTGGTAAAACATCGGATTTAATTAAAAGTTTACTGTTTTGTTGTCACGAGTTTCAAAAATACCATTTTTCAAATGTGTGCATACCTATTTTAATTGTCGTCATGGCAATATTTAAACTTGGGATCTGGAATCTTAAAATTGCACGTAAAAGTGAACACATATCCAACTAAATGACCAAGCGCTACCATTTAATAGACAGTCTAATTCTAATAATTTAATTTAATACCCAAGCGAAGTGTCATACTCAAACTGAAAAGTTCAATAATTAAAATTTCACGCCGAACAAAATTGAACACAAGCCAATTATCAATGATCAAAATTAACACCCAAGCCGGTCATCACTATTGTTATCAAAACATATCGATCTACTGTGCCCACTGCTAACACAGGTAAGGTGCTGGCATGCGTGACTAATCCCCTCATTGTCGTAATTTGACTGGAAGTGTCAAACTTGTGTAAACAAAGGATTTTCACACGGAAGGTAGAGGTGTGAACAAGACAATTATTATGAAAATCACTATGATAGGCGAAATTTTTGTATCAGATAAAACGAAAATCCGATATTTTCCTATCAGAATATCAGGTGAAATTATTAATAAATATATAAGAAATGGTTTTGTGCTCTGATATTGTATCAGATAAGCCGAAATATTTGTTTAACTGCTATCCGATTAAATGGAATCCACTGTATTATGCTCTGTTCATGAAAATTTCATTCTCACATATTTCTTTAGAATAAGACAATATATACATTACAAAGCAATCATGAAATTTTTGTCTTGCTTATAAATACCAAATACCTATCTCACAAAAACTGAAGTGTCACAATAATTGGTTGATCTACAGAACATGTGTTTGTGTTCATTTTAGTATCTTATTGTTTAGTAACATTACCTCTTGGCACCTCCAGCATCAGGGGAGACAATGCAGCTGTTTCTCCAATCAGGAATGGTGTCCTTAATCCACTTCAGGACTGCTGGCTCAGCATATAGATTGTCCACGGGAATGTCAAAGAAACCCTGTCAACATATTAAAAATAAAGTGCCCCGCCACAGCATGATACGCCCGTCAAATATATTGTTCAATAATCATGAATTGGTAATGGTGCAAAAAAATCAGATAACCTTGATTAACAGATTGACACAGATTTCAATGATTTAATTTCCATATCTTATCATGTTTAAAATATTATACATAATTATATACATCTCTAAGAGATTTACAGTGTAGGGATTAATTATAACAAATAATACATCATATAATTCTAAACTGGCTGTGTTAGAACTTAAGGAAATGCTACAGTCTAATAAAAAAAATCGAAAATTTACTATTCTTTAGACTATAAAATTCTAAGTGAGACATGACTGCAATGAACACATGCATAATTAGTTTTAACTATATTACACAATACTAATTAAGGTTTAAAATCATACACTAAAACATAAATTTGTTTTAATTACATTTTACATTACCAATTGGAAGATCCTTATCTGGACTATAGCCATCAAGAACTCTTAATTAACACAAGCAACTATGAGGCCATTTCTTTTTGCCCAACTCCCAAGAGACAGATTATCAGAGATGTTCTTAGACAACCAGCTAGCTCCTGACAATAAACTCATTAATTTCTCTCTAATTTGACATGAAATTTCTGCTGTCAAAATTTTTCTTGACCAGTGCTTGATAATTATGCCCATGGGACAAACTAGATTCCTCTCAAAACATTAACATTTGCTACAGATTGCTGTAAAAGTATATTAATTTATGAAGATGAAAAAAAATAAGTTTTACATAATTTAACATTTTTTAATACGGATTAATTTTAATTAAATTATGCAATATTAATTTAGTTTTTATCATACACTGTATTTTACAGCATCAATTTGTTTTAATTACATTACACAAATTGAAAAAATCTTTTTCTGAACTAGCCATCAAGAACTCTTAATTAACACAAGCAACTATGAGGCCATTTCCTTTTGCCAAACTCCCAAGAGACAGATTATCAGAGATGCTAGCTCCTGACAATAAACTCATTAATTTCTCTCTAATTTGACATGTGAATTTCTGCTATCAAAATTCTTCTTGACCAGTGCTTGATAATTATCCCATGGGACAAACTGAATTCCTCTCAAAGCATAAACATTTGTTACAGATTGCTGTCAAGTATATGATGAAAAAATAAGTTTTTACTTGATTTAACATTTTTAAATAAGGGTACAACTATATTTTTACATTTTTTAGGATTATGAAATTTCAAATTTTAAAGACTTAGTTTTTTTCAAAAAATCACTTAAATTTAAGGTCACAGTGACCTTGAAATAGGCCGCGACACACCCTCTACCTAAGATGTATAATTTAGCCAAGTTTGAAAGCTCTAGGTCTTATAGTTTTCTAGTTATTAGCCGGACAGGATTTTTCCATATTTGGCCATAGCATCTTTATTAAAGGTCACAGCGACCTACTTTTTGTGCGCGACACACCGTCTACCCAAGAAGTATCAACTGTCAAAGTTTGATAATCCTAGGTCTAATAGTATTCAAGTTATGGGCCGGACACGAATGGACAGACGGACAGACGCACAGACGGACAGACGGACGGACGGACACGAAGCCTATAACATAATACGTCCCGTCTTAAGACGGGCGTATAAAAATCACATACTGTAAAATCACATATTTTCATGGGGTCAAATTTTCGTGGTTTGAGTAAAAACTCTTGGTTCGTGGGGATTTGAATTCGTGGATGAAGAATCGTTGAGTAGTTACGTATGTGACATTTTACATTTTGTGAAGGACATGAATTCCTGGGTCTCTTCATACCTCGAAAACAACGAAAATTAAACCCACAAAAATTTGTGATTTCACAGTACATGTATCATGATTTACAACTACTGGTCACAAATTAATACAAAAACTCAAATACATGGAATCATATTCTAGGCTACAGTTTTCTCTCCAAAATTCTCACAAAAATTTCACCTGAATCTGAGAAGCATGGAGATCCATGGTTATGATGTGGTCAGCTCCAGCTACAGATAACATGTTGGCCACTAGCTTTGCTGATATAGGGGCTCTGCTCTGAAAGTAACAATTACAAAGAACTATATGCGGTATATTACATATATTTGCCCCCACAAAAGTCAAATTTTGAAAACTTCCTGAAATGTGCTGAATTCAATAAACTGTATGAGAAATATAAATTAACAGAAAATATTATAGTGTCAAAGCAGTGTATTCACAATTTTTGTTTTTTATGACGTCACAAACTAGTCCGATTTTATATCCTTTTTCAGAAAGAGGACAAAATTGACAAAATTATAACAATTTTAGCTTTAAAATTTATAGAGCGCAAGTTTGTTCAGGAACAATATTGACATATTTCATTGATATTATCATTCTACACATTATATCAAAATATTGATCCTGAACACATATGCGCTCGGTGACTTCTACTCAAAATATCTACGAAATATATACATTTTTCTGTAAAATTCATAAAAAAAATGAAATTTACGTCATGTTTGTGACGTCATTACGTACATATGGCGTCATTACTTATGAAAATATTCAGTGCTTTGAAGTCAGCATATACTCCCCTGTTTAAGAACTTAATTAAATATATCTCCATCAAAGTTTGATTTGGGGGGCAAATATCAGTTATTACCGAATAAAGTTCTTTCATACAAAATGATTCACTTGCATGAGGTTGGTAGATTAATTGAGAATGTGGGTTTTTTAATGTAAAACCCCTGTTTATAAGATATCCATACTTACCTGCATCAACTATTTGCAATGTGCCCGGGCTCCTACGATCATGCTCGAACATTAAAAACATTAGAGTTATCTCCCCCAACCTGGAACTCTTCACTACTTCCGCTCAGTTTATGTGAGGGACGACACTCTTAAATTAACCACCTCAGTAATAACCTTAGAAGGGGAGGTGGTTGGGGATGCAGGTAAGTATGGATATCTTATAAACAGGGGTTTTACATTAAAAAACCCACAGTTTATTACAATATCCATACTTACCTGCATCAACTATTTGCAAGAAACAGAATTTGTAGAATTAAGAAAGGGAAGGAGGGAAAGGTTATTAATAAAATATATCAACACTCACCCATTACTTATTTCCTCCTCTTTTTCTTCGCCCATTGAGCTGTTTCCAACACTGATGCTCTGGCGAAGCTGTCCTCTGAACCAACATCCTTCAGATAAAAGGAGGTAAAGGTTGTTTCTGAAGCCCAGTGTGCTGCCTGAATAATCTCTTGAAGAGACGCACCATTGAACAAAGCCCATGAGGTTGCTAGACGTCGAGTGTCATGAGCCCTTACATCACCCAACTTCAAATTTGGTGATCTTTCATACACCAGCTGTATAAGTGACACAATCCATCTGGAAAGAGTAGACTTGGCTGCAGCTCTGTGTAGCCCTGACTGATATGTTATAAAAAGATTTTCTGACATCTGACGTAATTCTTTTGTTCTTTTTACATACTCTTCCAAACACCTACATGGACATAACAATAAGTCTTTGTCGTCTGTAGCATAACGGTCAAATCTCGGAATGAACATAGGTTTCCAAGCTTTATTTGCCCTTTGTGTTTTTGCCAGAAACTGTAAATCAGGAAGAAGTCTTATCCCTATTCGTTCAATTCTCAGATTATTAGAATTAATTGAAAGAGCTTGTAATTCACTGACTCTAGCGGCCGTTGCCATGGCAACAAGGAACACTGTCTTCCAGCTCAAATACTTAATATGACATGTTGCTAACGGCTCAAATGGAGGTTCACACAAGGCCAACAAAACCGAAGGTAAGTCCCAATTAGGTAATAAAGGTCTAACACATGGGTTACTGTTAAATATTCCTTTTATCAAACTTGACAAGTCTGCATTAGAACTGACAGACCTTCCTTGCCATCCTCCATGAATGGTAGCTATGGCTGCTCTGTAACCAGCTACAGTATTAGACTTACAACCTCTTTCCTCGTGCAAATAAATGAAAAAGTTAGCTAACTCTTCTACAGAGGTTGAATATGGAGAAACACCCCGTCTATCACACCAACTTCTGTAAATTGCAAGTCTTGCCTGATACATCTTCTGTGTTGAGGTTCTCCTTGCCTGTTTGATGTATTCTTGAGCTTTCGGAGAAAATTTTCTCTTACAGGAGGCAGACTTGAGATTTTCCATGCTACGAGATTTAGGGACTCTGGATTTGCATGTCTTATCTGACCTCTCTTTTGTGTTAGCATGTCTTCTGAGAGGGGTAGTTTTCTTGGAAAGTCCACCAGAAGTTCTAACAGAATTGGATACCAAGACTGTCTTGGAGAGTGCGGAGCAATCAACACCAGCACACATGGTTCCTTCCGGACCTTTTGTAGCACTTGGGGGATCAACACCGGTGGGGGGAATGCATAAGCAAACATCCCTTTCCATGGCACACTTAGTGCATCTACTGCCCAAGCTAACTGATCTGGAAAGGGAGAGCAGAACACTGGCAACTTCTTGTTCTCTCTTGTCGCAAATAGGTCTATATTCGAAGTGGAGAACTTCAGGAAAATTTGATTCACAATCTCCTGCTTCAAGCTCCATTCTGTTATCCGAACCCCCTGACGACCTCTCGACAAGTCGTCTGCTAATACATTCTTCTTCCCTGGGATGTGAGCAGCTCGAATCGCTATATCCCTGGGTTTGCTCCATTGAAATATCTCCCAAAGAAGGCAACACAGCTGAAAGGACTTTGTTCCCCCTTCCTTGTTGAAGTATGACACCACTGTTGCATTGTCGCATCTCAATAGAACTCTGCTCTTCAACAGTATGTCTTCGAAATGAATTAGAGCTAATTGAACTGCCCTCATTTCCAACCAATTTATGTGACAATTCCTCTCCTGGGGACTCCAGGTGCCTGAAACCTGAAGGTCGTTCAGATGAGCTCCCCATCCCATTGAAGAAGCGTCTGTCCACAATGTCACACTGTGTGGCTGCTTCTCTTGTAAGGAAACTCCCCGAAAAATGTTTTCCGGCTGTTTCCACCATTCCAGGTGTTGGAGCAATGCCTCCTTCACTGGAAGGGTTTGTAATAGACTGTCTCTGTGTGGGCGCCAAAAAGACAACAGGTAAAACTGTATTGGGCGCAGATGTAACCTGGCCAAAGGGGTCAAATCGATGACTGAAGCCATTAAACCCAAGAGCCGTAACATTCTCTGAGCTAAAACACTCTCTTTGTCTGAAATCATAGTAATCTCCTAGTATTTTCTGGTACCTCTCCTCTGAAGGAAACACTAGGCCCCTCCTGGTGTTGAACACTGACCCCAGGTAGTGAATAACTTGTGATGGGATCATGTTGGACTTCTGTATATTGACAATTAGACCCAAATTCTGAATCAAATGAAGGACTTCGTCTAACTGACTCAACAGCAATGCTCTGTTCTGGCTCTTGATCAGCCAGTCGTCCAAATACATGAACACTTGAATCTGCCTTTTTCTGAGGTAACTTCCTATTATTGCCATCAGTTTGGTAAAAATTCTCGGGGCTATAGCCAACCCGAATGGCATTGCCTTGAATTGGTAGTGCTGACCTTGCCAACAAAACCTCAGATATCTGCGGTGTGCTGGATACACAGCTACGTGAAGATAGGCATCCTTTAGATCTAGCGACAATGCCCAATCTTCTGGATCTATGGCCCGTACTATACTTCTCAATGTCTCCATCTTGAAATGAGGTACTTCTAGGTAAGTATTCAGAACTCTTAGGTTCAGAATTGGCCGAAATCCTCCGTCCTTCTTGGGAACTAGGAAGAAAGTGCTGTAAAATCCCTGACCTATCTGGTCTGACGGGACTGGTTCTATAGCATTTTTTTCTAATAAGCTTTGAACCTCTTCTGATATAAATAGTTGTTTCTTTAAATCTACTATAACTGTAGTTCTTGTTCCGCTGTCTGCCGGCACACTTTTGAACTGAAGATGTAATCCTTCCTGGATTATGTTTAGAGCCCATTTGTCGTTCGTTATCGTTTTCCAACTCTCTACAAAATTCATTAATCTTGCCCCTACCTGGGGAGATACTGATGCCTCGGCAAACTGCCTGCTTTGCCTGCAAGGATCTTCTACCAACGTTTCCATGTTTAATACTTGGAGGCACGAAACCCCAACTGATTATCATCAGATTTCTTAGAGGTATCTGCACCTTTTCCCTGATATCTGCTTCTCTGCTTGAAGTTCCTGTTATCTGCATTCTTACTGGCTGCCTTTCTAGGAACTTTAGATGCACTTGGCTGACTTTGTTTTGCATCACTGTGAGAAGATGTATCACGTTTTCTTTTCTTGGAAGAGGCATAATTATCCTTACCCCTCAGGTGTTGGGTTTCTTTCGCATCTCTTATATTCTCGGCACTAGTATGCAGTACTTCAAAATACTTCCCAAGGAACAGATCCGACCCAATTGTAGACAAACTTTGCAACTTAGACTCCGTAGCCTTATTTTTGAAGGCCATGTCCTGCAAATACAAGCTTCTTCTTGAACCTACAGCTGTCACAATAACTCTAGATGTAACATCTGCCATTGAGTTAAACAACTGTACAAGAGCCTGTAGTGCCTCTGTCTTATCTTCGTCTGATTGTACAGAATCCAAGTAAGATGTGATCATAGATCCATAAGAGATCTGTCTTAACAACAATCTGGCACTCATGTCTACTTTGCGAAACTCGGTATTACATGAAGCAATGTTCTTGTCACTAAATCTAAAACGACCCTTGCCATTTATAGCTGAAGCTTTATTGGACTGCATCTTGCTATCCGTTATGCCCTCTTCAATATTACTATCAAGGCTTGGCACTTTACAAAACTTTGTAAAATGTTCTGATGACACAGCATATCTTTCATCATCCTTTGCTTTGAAAGCACGGACCTTGCCTCGTACCTGCCATTCCTTGTCAACATTCATGAAGGCTTGTATGGCCGATCCCTCCAAAGGTGGCCTAATCTTTGAGGATTCTTTGCCACATCGTAAATGCTCTGATACGAAAGAAGCATACTCTTGCTCTGGTTTATCAGCCTCTAAAGGAACTTTCAATTCTGAAGCTAACTTAGTTATAAAGTTCTTCCAAATGCCTGTGCTCTCATTAGAAGCAAAAGTTGACTCTGTCTCATCACATTTCTCATTGCTCTGTGATCTAGAATCATCTAAGGACTGATCATCATCCTCAACAAACTCGTTATCTCTGTCATCCTCCAAGTCTAGGACATCAGGACTGACCGACCTCGTTTCTCTTTCAAATCTGTTGAAACGTCTATTATCCGCTTGTCTACCAGCACTAGAATTAACCGACTCACCTGGGGCTTTTTGACCTGACGTAACAGTCTCGGCTAAGTTCTTCTGTCGAGTCATGACCCTGATTCTGTTGTCAATGAATGCATTAAACGCCTGCTCAAACTAATTCATAAAATTTCCATGTCCACTCGGAGGTGCGACCGGTATGAAAGGCATCTGCATTTGACCGCTCAGAGACGACATTTGTGCAGCATTTAAGGGCACAAAGGCTGTGCCTGGGTTCCACTGTCCGCTCTGAGGCAAAGACTGGTCTAGGAAGGCCGTAGTTTGGCCGCTCGGAGGCGGCGCAGGCCGTGTTACGTCCCCCCTGTCGCTCGGAGACGACGAGGACAACAAAACTCGGACATTACTTTCATCTACCCCCGAATTCGCTCTATCCCTCGTCTCAGACGATGCGGGAGTTTCAGCCGGCTTGGAAGCTTTAGCTAAAGCCTTATCAACCATTTTATTATACGCAGTCCACCGCCCCGGTGTCCATGCTTTGCATACCTTACACGTAAACTCCTCTGTGCACAATCTATGGCGAAAACAATCCGGATGATCGTCGAGGACGTTCATATCTCTAGAGCACTGTGCACATTTTTTGTAGGTTTCCATGATCACGATCGTAGGATACTCAAAAAACTTTATTTCTCAGACCACGCTGAAAAAAGCCGCCAAAAATGGCGGTGCCCGAACATAAACTGAGCGGAAGTAGTGAAGAGTTCCAGGTTGGGGGAGATAACTCTAATGTTTTTAATGTTCGAGCATGATCGTAGGAGCCCGGGCACATTGCAAATAGTTGATGCAGGTAAGTATGGATATTGAAATAAACTAAAATAAGTTTCAGAGATAAAAAATTTATCTCCGAAACAGCAAAAACATTAGGGGAGGCTCAAATACTGTAAATCACTTTTCATTCATGAGAATTATGCAAGTCTGTCTGCTTGTGAAAATTTTATTCTCATGTTTATTTGTAATGTGAAGGATTGATTGTAACAATAACACAGCTCACAAAAAATTTGTCTTGCTTATAAATAATGAATATAGCTTCTTAAATAAGCTTCACAAAAATAAAGTGATCTATACTATACAATTTTAATATGTTGGTCCTGGTCTCATATCCTCTCCTCTATGCAAAATGTTTGACATAGTACATACATTGAATGTAATCCATATTTCAATTAAAGATAAAAGTGAAGGTTGAAATGACTCCTTTTTGCCTGGAATATGATACATATCTGCATTCATATCAAATGGTCGGCTGAGCTCAACCAAATGTAATGGTAATCAAACCTTGTCTTTCTTGTCCTGTCGTGCGTAAGGAAAGCATGGGATGACCGCTGTGACGCGACAGGCCGATGCAATCTTACAGGCGTTGATCATAATCAGCAGCTCCATCAGCATGTCATTCACTTCATCACAACCACTCTGGACAATGTACACATCCTCTCCTCTCACAGACTCCCCAATCTCAACACTGCAAAATCAGGATGAAAATCTCTCAGCTCTATCTCTTAACTTACATATTTCAAAATTATTGTATGAATGTAATTTCTTTGTTTTTTGTATACCTGGTTAAATATCCATTTTTCAATAACATTTTACCTGCATTCCCCGTTGCTGAACTTCTTGGTGACAACTTTTCCCGGTTCGATGCCAAGTCGATCGCAGATTTTCTGAGCCAAATCAGGGTGGGAGCTCCCATTGAATACCTTTATATTTGGCATCTTATGGTAATCGACAGCTGACGAAGACTGTAAGTTCTTCCTAATGGAAGTTTTATGCATCAACTCTCTTGCGTTGAACAATATTTCAGCACGAGATCATCAGTGTCAAGAGCACGCACTCAACTGATTCCCATATGCATTTCGTCCCCAGGATATTTCGACCACAGATATGGGAGGATAAAACAACCTCTCTTAAGACCCATAGGAACTGGGGCACAGTGAAATCCCTCCTTACATTAGGTTTTAAAAAAAAAATAAGGCACGTAGTATTAGGGAGCCATGGGGAGCCCCCCCCCCACTTTTCTTCAGACAAAAGTTTTTCTAAAGAAAATGTTCATTGAATCCCCCCCCCCCAGTGGCGGATCCAGAAGTTCATGGGGGGGGGGGTTGAGGCCCAAAGGGCCGAGGGGGGAGGGCATGGGAGGGGGTGTCCCCCTCCCCTAGGTGGGGGTTCGGGGGGCCTCCCCCGAGAAAATTTTGTTTTAAAAGGTTCTAAATGGTGCATTTTCCAGCATTCTTTTGTACTTTTTGTAGCTTTTTTAAAGACCAATCATCACAAATTTTTAAGAATCCAGAAAAATAAAATGTTTCAATTTGATTTAAATTTAACACAAGACTTTAGACCTTGTTTAAAAAAATGGAGGGGGAGGGGCTTTCCCAGAAAAAAAAATTAAATAGTTCTAAAATTGTGCATTTTCCAGCATTTCTTGTACTTTTTGTAGCTTTTTTAAAGACCAATCATCACAAATATTTAAGAATTTAGATAAATAAAATGTTTCAAATTACATGTAATTTAACTTTAACACAAGACTTTAGACTTTGCTTTAAAAGATTGTTACATCTGACAATTTTAGGAATACAAGCAGTTGACTTCAAGTTGTCTTTTAAATGCATTTTCAATTAATTTAGTCAAGCTGACTTCTAATTTACAACTGATGTGCAATTTTAAACACTTTCAAAAAATCAAACATTGGATCCTTTTCAGAATTCCTAATTAGTGCTTTTCAATTTACTTGAGTATACTGTCAATATGATGTAAAAAAAAATGTATTAATTTAATTTTTAAAACGGTAAACAAAAAACCCTATATATAATAGTTTATTCAAATAGTTAATAAAAAAAAGACAACATGCATTTTATCAGCAAAGGAATATTACTGAGCAGCACCGTAACTATGCAGTTTTCTGTTGTTGATACTTGACTACATTGTACTGCACGATGATCTTGTGACTTCACTAGATTCACGGATTACCCCTCTCTCTGTTGATTACCTGTCACAGTGTATTGTGTGCGTTCAAGCGGAAAGCGATTTCCTGTTACGTGGCTGAAGTATATTTCACAGTTGTACAGAACAATGGATTCGTGTTATTTTCTTATCAATGCAACAAAATGATAAAATGACACTTGTAAAAAAAAAATTCAATGAGCGGGGGGGGGGGGGACCAGAGAATTTTCACAAAACAGTCTTTTGAATCCGCCCTTGCCCCCCCACTTCAGTTTGGGTGCCAAAATGAAAGTATTGTCAAAGAAGTCTGTAGGGTAATGTAAGGGTAATGCAGTGTTAGAGTTAACAAATTGTACTAAAAGAAATGGAATTTTCTAGTTTGGACATTTTTTTGCTTGTCAAAGTTTTTTTTCCAGGTAAGTTGAAAATTTTTCCACGGGTTATAATTGCCACCCCAACCCCCTTTCAAAAACGATGCTACGTCACTGTAAATTATGACACACGACCTGGCCCCCACTAATTTCAAATATAAGTGTTTAATTTAAAATGTTCATTGAAAGCCTCCCCGGCCCCTCCTATTTTTTTTTAGCAATAGTGAAATCGGAGTAATGGGTATTGTAAGAATAAAGTTTGATTGTGGAAGAAACTGAACCAACAACAACTCTTTCATCTCGCAAAATAGGATTTTTGAGTTTGGAGATTTTTTTTCTTTCTTAATGTCACCGGGTTCACAGGTGTATGAAAGTCAATCAATATATCGGGTCTCTATAGCTCAGTTGGATAGACTGCTGGCATGGTACGCCAGAGGCCCTGGGTTCAAGTCCCGGTTTGGACTAGACTTTTCACCACCTGTGACATTTGGAGCGCCCAACGTACAAAACCCACTATTTCCTTGGAACATGCCTCACAGCATTTAATAACTCCAGAATTCGAGGTGAATTTCTACAAAGCTGGGGAATATGTCACCGGGTTCACAGGTGCGTGAAAGTCGGTCAATATATCGGGTCTCAATAGCTCAGTTGGTTAGAGCGCTGGCACGGTACGCCAGAGGCCCTGGGTTCGAGTATATGTTTGAAAATTGCTTTTCACCACCTGTGACATTAATAATACTTATCAAACTCAAACACCCAGCCCCTCCACCAACTTTAACTTTGAAACGACTATGTGTCTGCATGGACGACTAAAAACCTAGATGTGATTCTTCTTCTTCTTCTTCTTCTTCTTCTTCTTCTTCTTCTTCTTCTTCTTCCCTTTATGGAGAGTTCTCAAATTCGAGTGTAAATACTCCAGTAATTTTAATAACTCCAGTGATTTTGCGAATAACTTTCCTCTTTACATTAATTTGAAAATCAGTGGTATAATTTTTAAAAAGAATTTTGAATCTTCAAAGGTCTTTTTGCAGGAAACATTTAACAGTTTTTATTGTACCTCTTATAAAAGAAATTTAGGGAAAACAGTGGTATAATTTTTAAAAAGAAGAATACATGTATATAGTTAAATTTGTACCTCTTATAAAAGAAGTTTAGGGAATACAGAATATATAGCTTTTGCCCTGTCTGTCCGCCTGTTTGTCTTTCTCGCTGTCTGTCTGTTTATCTGTTTGTGTGCAAAAACTTTAAAATTAAACATTTACAATTTAATTGGTTATATATAGAGCCATGACTTTTATATTTCACAGACGAAATTCCTCGGTTGCTACAAGACACGGAGGCTTTGGTCTTTAGCAACAGTTTGACCTCTTTACCTTGATCTTGCAGTTTTACCCGTTTTGCAAAATTTTACCAAACTATGTCTTTTGAATGCTCGAGGGTAGGATTTTTACACCGCTGGGGTATTTACCAGACCTTTGTATTCCTTGTGACAAGATCTTTTCTTTTGGTACAAAAAAGTCACTACAAATATTTTGGACCTTTTGCCTTGACCTCGAAGTTTGACATATAGAGTTTTGCAAAAAGAATCCGTTTAACTATGGCCTTGTTTAATGAAATAAATGGTAATGTAAAACGAATAGTATTCAAAAGACAATTCAAACAATATACACAAATCAGGAGAGGAGCAAACACGGACTTCTAAAATTCAGAGATGGGATCAGGTGCCATAGAGGAGTAAGCATCCCCTGTTGACCGGTCACACACACCGTGAGCATGATGCATTGATCAGGTAGACGGAACTATCCGTAGTCAATTCAGTATAAGAACAATGGCATAACAACTGATCTGAAACAAGTCAGTCAAAATATAAGCCAAAATATGACCCTATGGTAGGTTATATTTACAAGATTATTATAACGACAGGATCTTCTTGTTTCAAATGTGTTTTCCTTGTGACAATACCTTTCTCTAAGTGACCGTTATTTTTACCTCTTTACCTTGACCTTTGATTTTGACTTGCCTTTGAAATGTTTTACCTTTGCAATGAGCTGTCATACGGGGAAATAGTGTTCCACAAATACATCTTTTTATTTAGAACTACGATGGATTTTATCATTTTTGAAAATTATTATTATCATTTTTTTTTTATCTGTCAATGCCCTAAGGTCCTATTGTAAAGTTTGGGTCAAGGACAAAATTCAAATATAGACTTTTTTAGTATCGACCAAAAAAAAAATCAGGAGTTTGGGGCCTGAGATTGGTGAATTTGGTCAAAATATTAGAATTTTGTCAATTTATCTACAGATTTATTATAATATGTCAAGTTAGGAGAATTTTAAACACTTAATTTATTGATTTTGCTGAAGATCTTGAAGACGTGTACACGTTAGATCCTTTTTGGTGCCGTTACCAGGATATCCTATTTGTCCGTTTTTATCCGGAATTATGAAATTTTGATCAACACATTCATAATTTTAGAAAAAGAAAAAGAAAATTGAGACGTCCAGCTTTAGATTCGTCAATCTTTTTATGTTATATCATTCACATATGTATTTAAAACGAATTTATTGTTTTTACGTCATATTTCAAAATAATCACCGGAAGTAGTCTGAGTGAAGTAATCTTCTGTTTTAGTGTTTACAAATTATCTCAGAAATATATTCATTGTTATCAAAAACAACAGAGTTAAACCCCATTATGGCAAATATTGCCGCTGCAAGAATACAGAGAGAGTTTAAAGAAGTTGTTAAAAGTGAAGAGGTAATGGGATTTTACGTAGAATTTCAGAAAGAACAATAAATTGTGTGATTTAACCGTTCGAATTTTCTCTATAAAATGTTCCGGATTTCATTCCATCTGTCTTTAATGTTCTTTCCTGTGTTTTTTCGCATTGAAAATTTGTGATGATAATAAATCGTAAATTCTTGCTTTCATTAGGCTCTAAGTCTTACCATCTTTTACATGTTAGCAGATTCATTAATCTAATGAAAAAAATAGAAAATGTTTTACTCAGAAAAACTTGCAGTAGCTGTCCCTGGACAGTGAATTCCACATTTGTCAAGTTAACAAAAAAGCTTTAAAAATTTATATGTTACCCATATTAAGCAGAAATACTATTATAAAGAAGAGATCATTGTTTCAGGTAGCAAAATGCAGCATTAAGGTTGAGTTGGTAAATGACTCGTACAGTGAACTTCGAGGGGAAATAGCTGGACCTCCTGATACACCATATCAAGGAGGAAACTTTCACTTGGAGATAAAAATTCCAGAAACTTATCCATTTAATCCTCCAAAGGTGATTTTTTTTATGTTTTTGTTTTGCATCCCCCCCTTTCATTTTGTATAATTCATAAAAAAGAAAAGAAAAAACAAATAATTTCAAAGTTGGAAAATTTGGAAATGTACTCCAGGGATGAAAGCAGTCCTTTTAATATCATATTTCATAAGATATCTGAATATCAAAAATTGTATTTGTTTTATTCAGATGTACAATGACCTACCTTAATTGTTGTAATTAAAATATACAGTTGAACTTCAGTATCTCAAACTGCGATATCTGGAATACCATGGATATGTCGAAGTGATTTGGAAGTCCCAACCACATATTCTTCCAGTATTTTACCTTCGATATCTCGAATCCTTTGATATCTCAAAGTTTTTTCTCAGTCCCATCAGGTTCAAGATTACGAAGTTTTACTGTATATGCATTCAATTTATTTTATTTTACTTTTGAAATATTTTCCAATAGGTGAAGTTTCTCACAAAGATTTGGCATCCTAATATCAGTTCAGTGACAGGGGCTATTTGCTTAGATATTTTAAAAGACCAGTGGTAAGTGTAAGACAGTTTGCATGTAAAAAAATTATATATTGACATAGTCTTAAATGCATAGAAGACTTGTATTTTGACATAATCACGATGCATAGACTTGTATATTGGAATAGTTTTAATGCATAGAAGACTCGTTTATTGACATAGTCACAATTAATGCATAGAAGAATCAGATATTGACATAGCCATGATACAGAAAACTTCACCTATCCTCAACAGTCTGTCTTTCTTTGTCCCCCTGTCCATGTAACAAAGATGCTGTGAAATAATGTTTCAGAAATATTAAAAAGTAATATAGAAGCATTATTAGGTAGTGTAGGTTGAAGTTTGTTCAAATCACACAGAATACCTGGGGCAGGATGGGAACTTAAAGGTTGATCAAAACTTTACATAAGAATATGTGGGAAAAAGAATCTTCTGATAAAGAACAGAAGAACCATGGTTGAGCCTTGAGGCCTTTTTTTCTTATTTCACTCACTATACAAGTAGTAAATACATTGTAAAGTCTATAGATAACCCCTAGCTATATTGACAGGGCTGCTAAAAGCTATAGATAACACCTAGTATCTATATTGACAGGGCTGCTGCTATGACCCTCTGTGAAACCGTCAAAATGCTATCTCTACAGGCATATGTTAGCCGCACACATGAACCTGATGATCCACAGGACGCAGTGGTAGCCAAACAATATATTTCTGAAAATAACGAGATCTTACAGTTTTGTTCTGATTTCAAGAAAACTGCTCGACATTGGACATATACATATGCTGGAGGTAGTACCGATTGAGTTGTACTTATGTTGCCATGTGTATGATTGAATTTTCATGGAATTTACTGTAAATGCACTTTACTTTTCTATGAAATCCATAATTCTGCAGAATCACATTGCATAATTAATCCAAAGTACATTTATAGTAAATGTAATTTGACAATTGTTGTAATCATTGAACATATTACAAGGTAAGAATTCACTATAAAGTTAAAAGAACTTATATCCAATCCTGTAAGTTTTGAATAACATGCATGTTCAAATCAAGCACTCTCACTTTTTATCCAAAGAAAAGAATGGAGGCAAAAAGAAGCATAAAATTTCTTGTGTATAGTCTTGAATATTTGCAATGAAATAATTATTTTAAAAAAAGTGATTATTTTGACGAATTGTAGGAATTTCAAAATGTGAAAACTTAAAGTATTTTATAAAAAAACATACTTTGTTTAGATTTTTTGATAAGGTCAAAGTTTGCTTTTATATTGGGAAACATTGCATTTATGAAGCTAATGATACAACAATTTGATGAATATGGGATTTGATGCGGTATAATGTATCTTGACATTTGATTTTAACAAAGATGCAAAATTTTTTTTATTCATGATTTAACTTATTGCGGAAATTTAGGGTGACCAGCAATTTATTTTCACTAGTATTGTGAAATTCATATTCTGATCACAGAGTCAGAATGAACGGAAAAAAACATTCCTTGTGCATGAGAATTAACATACAGCGACAACACCGCGAGTGATAAAATATTAGTTCCTGTATTTTTAGGAAATTCATGGTCAATAGGATTTAATAAACATAAATAATTTTTTAAAAAAAACAAACGTAAGGAAATTAGCCGGGGGGGGGGTGGGGGGGGTGGGGGTGGGGGGTGTTTAGTAACGGGACAATATATTTTTTTTTTTTCATTTGGTAGATTAAAAGGGCATTAAATCAAAAGCGGGGTGAAAAAAAAAATAAAACATGTAAGATACAATAGCATATTAAATTTTAATTTGTTAAATCTTAAATTGGAAGTAAAATCTTGCATTTGAATCTGTTTTTGTGCACAACACAACCGTCGAAATTGTGTACCAAAATTGACGACAAAAGCAAACCCGCGACCTACCTTAAAGGTTGATCAAAACTTTACATAAGAATAAGTGGGAAAAAGAATCTTCGAATGAAGAACAGAAGGACCATGGTTGAGCCTTAAGGCCTTTTTTTCTTATTTCACTCATTATACAAGTAGTAAATACATTGTAAAGTCCATAGATAACCCCTAGCTAAAAGCTATAGATAACACCTAGTACCTATATTGATAGGGCTGCTGCTATGACCCTCCGGACCGTCCTTCTATCTCTACAGGCATTGTTAGCTGCTGCTGAACCTGATGATCCACAGGACGCAGTGGTAGCCAAACAATATAAAGAAAATAACGAGATCTTTAAGAAAACTGCTCGACATTGGACATATACATATGCTGGAGGTAGTACCGATTGAGCTGTACTTATGTCATGTTTTTCTGAATTTTCATGTAAATGTGCACTTTCCTTTTGAATGAAATCCATAATTCTGCATCACATTGTATAAATTAATCCAAAGTACATTTAAAGTAAATGTAATTTGACAATGATATCAGAACTTGTTACAAGGAAAGAAACTATAAAGTTAAAAGAACTTTTTAATCTGTAAGTTTTGATAAGCATGCATGTTCAAATCAAGCACTCTCACTTTTTATCCAAAGAAAAGACTGGCAAAAAGGCATAAAATTTCTTCTTTTAATATTTGCAATGAAATATAGGAGTTCATTATTTTTTGTATCCTCTGAAAACTTAATATTTTAAAGACATACTTTGTTTGACAGGTCCTCAGAGGGAGACAGATTATGAAGCTAAGATACAACAAGTGATGAATATGGGATTTGATGAGGTAGGGGATGTAAAATAGCTAAAAATGTTTATTGATTCATATACATGAATTCAACAACAAATGATCTATCCTTTTTGTGTATGTCATACAACTTCAAAATGAAAAAAAGATTGCTTTTGTAACAGTAACTTATTAGCTATTGGAGAGTACAAGAATGTGATGAAGGTGTATGAATGAAGAGAAAAGAGGGCAACAAAGCGACAGAATAATGACTTTACAAAGTTAACGCTGCTTCTCAAGTCATCATTTGTCATGTAAATGTGCATTGAATGTGGATACTGCATCACATTGTATAAATTGATGACTTAGTTTTTGTGAGGATGATATTAGCTTGTAATAGATAAAATATTTACAGTTAATAAGTTGTGAAAATGATAAAATTCTTAAGTAACGTACAAATATTAAAAACAAAAATTTCAGTGATTTCCTGGCATATGGTGGGATGTCATTTTTACTGACATATTGTGTCAAATCTTGTCATATATAGGTACATGTAATGCACATGTAAGATATGAAAGTCCTATTTCTTCTCAATAAAAAGTTATAAGGAAGTGAACCTGATGGCAAAATAGTGAACTTTTCTTAAATGCAAATTAGATATATATGGAAGGATGGCTGAAGGATAGCATTCTCAAATAGACTATGGCCAAGGTTAAAGTTGAAAAAGTAGGTCAAACTCCAAAAGGTCAAAGGGTCAAATTTTTATCCAATGAAAGGTCTTGCCACAAGTATTACATAATGAAACCAAACTTAAAACAAAATACAGTTGCAAAAAAGTATTTTTATCATGTATGAAGGATAATTCTGTTAAGAAGCATTTTTTCTGTCATGTAATTGCAGTAAAATAAACCATTGATTGAACACAGTTTCATAATTTACCATGGGGTGCAGATTTGAGCCGTAAATAGGTCCCTGATTTGACCATAATTATTTTATTTTTTTTTTACATGCTCTTTAATATTCTTCTGTCTCAGACACCTGATGTTTTAAATCTTTCTTTACATAAATTAAAAAAAATCCCAATACTATTATATTAAATTAATTTTCCCACTCTTAATTATCTCAATTAAGTTTCCCTTTCGAACTTACATTTAATGCTTAAAAAAACGGATTCAAATTCTTGAAATTCAACAACTGCAGTAATTCAAAACATTGCAGAAAATATTCCATCCTATTAAATATCCTTCTGAACACTCCATTCCAACCCTTTCAACATTCCCCTCTGCTTCTAGAGGGGTCCCAATCGAGTGGGCCCCAGTGGAAAGAATCTATTTTCAGAAGCAGAATATTATATTTCTAAACTTCTTTGTTTTTATAAGCAAGAGTACAGCTTAAATCTTTTATATTAAAAAGAATGATCAGAATTTTTATGTTTAAAATTCACCTTTTGTCAAAAAGTATTGGGTCGGTTTTTTTTTAATGGTCACAACGAATATAGCATCAAAATAGCTTCTGAATAGATTTTGACCTTTGGAGACTTTTCCCCTCTTTGATTATTTAAATTGGTTATCTACCAGTTACAGTATCCAACATCTAAGTAAAAATCCTTTTTATACCCACTCCCTCTCTCCTAAAACAGGATATAACCTTTTATCCTTGTGTGTCTGTTTGTACCAAATTTCCATCACAGTTTTTTTAGCAACTACTCATCACAGATATTTGAAATTTAAGCACACTTCTTGTTTTTATCTTATGGTGAGAATCATTTTTGTACAAATCAACTTCTTGTTTATTGTGTCTTTCTGAACCAAATTCAAAATGGAGTGAGGGGAAAACTAGTGAGAATTGACTCACTGACTTCTTTTTTTTCAAATTTGTTTATGGATTTAGAGGACTTTGGATCATATGAGGGGGAGGGGGACAGTAGAAAGTGAAGATAAGATGAAACTATTTATGTCTGTTGTGAATGGCTTCTACTTTAATTTGCTATACATAATCAAAAGTAAAGTCACTGCAGAATTTGCATGTATTTGAACATTAAATAGTATTTTGTGGTATGTAAAGTATTAGAATGATAGTGATTGCTGACAACAAAATCACCCTTTCCAGTTGAAATTATAAATTATAGATCAACACCCCCCCCCCCCCCCCAAAAAAAAAGAAAATTGATCAATAATTATTCACAATTTTATGCTTCACAAATATGTGATATCTTTTTGTGGATGTGTTTTCCTGTAATAATACAAGTACTTTGTAAATACAGTTTTTATTCTAAATAGACTGTGTATGTTTTTGGCATTTATGATATTTATGATGTCATGTCATTCTTTTGGTATAGCTGGGATTTAGTCAGTACAGTATACATGTAACTCTTGTAAAATAAATTAAACTTAACAAATATGTAGGTCTTAGTTGCAGGAGATAACATGACTCAAGACTTCCTTGTATTTTTTATTTTTTTTGTTTCTTTTTTTATTCAAGTAGTGCTTTTTACATAAGATAACACTTATCTGGCAAATAACGACTTTTGTACATCCTATTCTTTGCACTTGAAATAATTGAACCATACATTAAGATCAGTAAATTGCACTTGGTGCAAACCCTTTATTTTTCCTGTAATTTATATTATTTTTTTTATAATTTTGTGAATGTGATATTACATACAAATTACATTGACAATTGTAGGAGAAGTTTGGTGATAATGTGAGCCAGTGCTAATCAAGTGTATTTATTAGTGAATATTTTTACACATCTGTTTCATGTGTGTCATTTTCTTGTATTTCTGTATCATCTTATCCAAATTATAGCCTTTTGATTCTTTGTTCAAGTATACAGCTTGCTTCATGTATAACCATAATAATTCTGTGGCATTTCATGAAAATTGGACACTAAGTTTCCAATGATTGGTACAGTCTCCGTATTTAGGGTATGGTTTTTGTTGCTGGGTAGCCTGAGATGTGTATGTAAAATAGGATAATAAAAGTTAATGTTCCTAATATTAAATGATTTAGTAATACAGAAAAATTAATAATTGTGTATTTTATTTTTCTGTTTTGGTAGGAGTTATGATTTATGTATTATAAATAAGGTTTGGATATATCTGAAAAATATATGTGTGTACTTTAAAAGAGAATCACTGCAGAGCAGGTGTCAGTATAAGGGAAAAAGTAACAGAGGAAAAAAACACTGTTGGATGTATACATCTAAAGTCCACTTTCGGTAACATGTTCTCATGGTTTGTTTCTTGTTCTTGTATATAATTGTTATAGACATCTTTTTGAACACTAGGTAAATTCCTGTTATTCTGTAGAGTCCGAGACTTACTATTGCCCATAATTTGTGAGAGTGCTTTAGTCCTTCTGAGTGACCGGGGGTAACCATAGACTATATATACGTTATGCAATGTGTATTGGTGATTCAACACCATTTTCTTTGTTTGAATAACTATTACATATATGTTTGATGTCATGTTATTTTATCTGAGTGAAAATGAAAGTATGACAATAAAACTACAAATGATTTTATTGTATTTTTTATTAGTTATTCAAAATTGCAGAAGTGATACCCAAGAAACTTGGATTTGTACTGGGTCAAAGTATGCTTTGATAAAATGGAGTTAATATTTAAGTTTTATACTCCTGTATCTAAAATCCTTCAGACTTTAGGATGTATCATGGACTCACCTCTAATGAGATATTCAGACTTTTTTGTTCTTAATCAGAAGATATGTCCCTGTTAGTGATATTCTATAATTCTGTATCAAAGTCATGATGGTTTTTGTTTGTTTGGGGATAGTAGGAAATAAACCTTCTGTATTTTTAGCTCACCTGAGCTGAAAGCTGAAGTGAGCTTTTCTGATCACCTGTTGTCCATAATCCATCTATATAGCTGTCTGCCTGTCCGCCTGTAAACTTTTCACCTTTTCAATTTATTCTCAAGAACCACTGGGCCAATTTTAACCAAACTTGGTAAAAAGCATCCTTGGGTGAAGGGGAGTTTAAATTATTAAAGTTAAGGACCAAGTCCTCTTGCAAGGGGAGATGATGAAGAAAAGGCAAAAATAGGGTGGGATCATTAAAAGCTCTTCTCAAGAACCACTGGTCCAGAAAAGCTGAAACTTATGTGGAAGCATCCTGGGGTAGTGTAGATTCTAAATCATTCAAATCATGATCTTCAGGGGTAGGGCTGGGCCACAATAGGGAATCCAAGTTTTACATTGAAACACATAGGGAAAATCTTCTCAACCACACCACTGGTTCAGAAAAGCTGAAACATATATAGAAGTCCAGGGGTAGTGTAGAATCTAAATTGTTGAAATAATGACCCCCATGGGAAGGGTAGGGTCACAATAGGTATTACAAAGGGGAAATCTGCTGAAGAACAGCATGGCCAAAGTTGCTCAGGTGAGCAATGTTGCCCATGGGTCTCTTGAATAAAAGAAGTCTAACTAACAAAGAATATGAAGGATTACATCGCTGCATCTTTCATGAGACCCATTTTGTTATCAATTAATTTTGGTACAGTCCAATTTTATATTGTATACCTTTGATTCTGTAGTTGCAGGTCTCACACTAATTAATGAGATCATTATTCATTTTTTCACAGATGAGTTAGAATTTGATTCTGTTTTTGACTGAATTTATGCAAAATTTGCAGCACACCAACCTCTGTGTGTACAGAGACTATAAATGCCTCGCAACTCTATTCAGCTAAGAGCTCTATAGGTATAATTATATTAAGTAAATCTTTAAAAGTTACAATGCCATAGACATGCAGATACTCTAGTCTAACCATGTTTCTATGCACTCTGCATCTTTAAGGACCTATTGACCTTTGGCTGAAGGTTGAACAGAAATGCAGTGGTAATGCCAGTATTTTAAATAATTGTTTACTATCACATGGCAAGAGGTTTGCCTGCTAGATATACTAAGGCATAAAGAACATACATTTAGCAGGAAATGAGAAAAAGTATGACTGGACTTGAGCCTGCATTACTAGTTAGGGGCCCTAATCAATTTCAGTTACTGAGACTGAAATCCATGACCCAAACCATTAGATTCCTCCTTCCTTAAATTGTCTTCACCCTCAGACACAACCCAGATACTGTAGCCCCTGACAGTACTTTCATTTGCAGGTCCAAGGTTGGTCAGTAGCACCAAATTATGTAATAGGAAACGAGAAAATGTTATGACTGGTACAGGAATCAAACCTGAGATCCCTACATCAATTGTCAGGTGCTCTAACCACTGAACCACCCAGGTAGATACACGTGTATCCACAGCCCAAACCAATACTTTAATACCTGTGCGTTGAACAAAAAAATAGTTATGGTATACTGGTTACCAAACTTGTTACCTGAAACATGACCAAGAAAAAAAGGCCTTTTGTATTTTCAATACTGTAAATTAATTTACTTTTTTTCCATGGGCCATGGTCATAATTTTGTGGAATCACAATTTCTATTTAATTTGCTGGTAGAAAATAATTTGGATTTCTTGGAGTGCCATTGTATGTCTTACATGTAAATGCACTTCAGGCGTGCTGTTAAAAATTTCTGCAAAAATTGTTACCATTTACATAACATGAAATCCCATTTGGAAAAAAGTTTGCATACAGTATACAAGAAGATACACATTTTAATTTGGTTGAAAGCTCATTATATCATTCATGTACTTTCCCTGTAAGATAGAGTGATCATTAACTTTACCCTACTAGGGGGGGCAAAGGATCATGAATTTCAAAGTTTGGATAGTAAATGACGTATAACTGCCTGTTTTTGCATTATTAATTTTCGCCTACTTTGCATTACACAATAAAATAAACTTGAATGAAATTGCCCCTGGTAGTGTGCTGTATAATTAATATACAGATATTTATATCACACCAATGGGGCAATAGCAAAAATAGGATTATGTAAATCATAAATAACAGTGTACTGGATACATGTATTTTCGCAAAAAATTGTGATATGCAGAAAATACCCATTATAGTGATGGCTCCTATTATCATGTATGCCATCTAGATGTCCAGGAGAAAATAAATCCCCCTTCTGAATTTCAGTTGTGGTATAGTATTATTACTCATGCAATATTTGAACTTTCCCTCTAATTGCAGATTCCATAAACCAAAATTGATAGAAATGTGTTCAGTCATTTTCTCAATTCTAGATGAATTAACAGAAAAGAACACTGAGGAATAAACCACTTGAGTGACAAAGGTGACTAAAGGTTGACATAATTATAACCATCTTCTTCCGAAAGTCTCAAACAGATAATGGTGAACAAATTTCTTTCAATTTCATACAGATTCTAAGTACTGAAAAAGTTCTGAGGTTTCTACAATTTTATTTTGTAATATTAAGCCATTTATAGTATTATATTACTCTGACAATATATTATAGTTGTCTGCTTATTTACAGGTATAAGGTACTGATATACAGACAGTGTATAGAAATAGTAGTTATTGTTATTCAAGCTTAATTGTTATACACTGCAGTAAGTCATGAGATTTTCATTAATTTCATATGTCATGGCATATCATACCAAAGATCTGACAATTACACAAGTTTTAAAAAAGCAATTACCAGTGGAATTATCAAACCAAACCTTTGTAATGACTTATTTAATTACTCAAGCCAGCGTTTCCTTTGAAGGCTTTGATCTAGTACACGTCTATAACTTATATTAGCCTTTTAAAAGATCAATACAGTCATATACCAATGTATACATAAATTATAAATATATATATATGATATTATGTCACGCACATGATACTTTTCAATGTGTAAGATAAACCTGCTGTAGTTATTGTACTGATAATATTGCTTGATGACATTGCACAGATTTTGCCCTCTCAACCATGCACATAAAAGACTGTGCAAGTGCTTAATTATGGAGAATGTGCCTTCAAAATCGACGCTTTATATAAGGAAGTCTTATTGTGTATTATATAATTCTTCATGTCTTTATTTGGTAAGTTCACGCAATTCTTGGTCTTTATTCTGCAAGTTTTAAATTTTTTTAATGTTGATTTAAAAAAAAATAAATCAATTAGTTCGCAGTCTTGAATTCATAGCATAGCCTAGATACTGATATAATATTACTTGCCTGTATACAAATGATTAGTAAATCTGAATAATATACAAAGCCTGACAAGTAATTAGAATTTAAAGATATCATTATTGCTTATATTTTAATAGATGATATTGAACACCCTGCATCCAAGACTAAACATGAATACAAGTTGTGTAAAAGTGATTAAATCGGTCACATTCTGGTCAAAATTTCCATAAACCTTCAATCTACCCTGATCACAGCAAATATGCAAAATAAAGGATATAATATGTGGAAAAAATAGATCAATCTGAGACAAAATATATATGCTTTAACAATCTGGCCTTGGAATGTTTAAGATAACAATACAATATAGGAGTTTTTAACCGATAGCAATCAAATTATATAACTTATATAATGATATAAGTATATAATACATGTACACTCCTATTTCTTTAAAATACCCATAAAGAAAGGCACAGTCTATTTGCATATTGAGGGTATTACATGAACAAAATAATGCATTTGACAATTGAATGTTATATATGGTACACCAACACCCAACAAAACAAGTGTAAATATGATTATCAATGATATACACTTAGCAGGATCACAACACATGAATTTTTGGAATACTGTTGTATATTAAAAATATCAAGCTAAAAATGCTCATCATATACATATAGATCCATGGATGAATCCCTATTTTGGCCCTCCATATATAGTTTGCAAATTTATTATACAGTAAAATTTCTGATTTTTTTTTTTTTAAAGCAGAATTGTCCTTGTATAGTAATGTCAAAACCTTTAACAAATGTCAAATGTGAGAAAGAAGCGGTTCAAAAAGTAGTTTCAACTTCAAAAAGAATTTCCATCAGAGAACTTCAAAGAAGCCAAAACCTTTCAGAAATACATTCCGACATCTGCTTCTCAAAATCTTATACATTGTTTGCATAATACATGTATTTAAAAGTTACATAAAAGCAAAATCAAGCAAGTATTACACTGGCATTGCTTTCATGGCCGTCTGCCATTTGCATACAACATGTACATGTATATCACTTACAAAAAAATATATATAACACTTTTCCCTAGTTGCTTGTTCAAACTTTATGGAAGCACATTTGAACACGGAATACATTAAACATTGCCACATCCCCATCTTGTGTAACTAAGCAACCAGGGAGAGTACATTAGTCCCATGTGGATAACTAAGACTAAATCCCTGGAGAGTTGTCTGCCCTTGACTGGGGGCACCTGCTCGATAGATCTGCCAAATCACTGAAGCTTCATGCAGGGCCAGTATTACTGTCAACTTCTCATACAGTTTATCATTTCAAGGAAATCACTCATACTTTACTAAATTTCAATCCAGCTGAAAAAGAATAAAAATAAATCATCTTCAACATCTTTTATGGAAAATTAAATAAAAAAATATTACATATCTAAATTAATGATTCTTGATAAAAATAATGCAAAACTTTAAAGGACTATGGGATTTTATATTCTAAGATTTGACTATATTTTGTAACAATGTTTTGAGTACCCACCCTCGTCATTACTATAACAGTTGCGGCAGTGTAACTTATTGACTCGGACTCTGACATCAGCACCCTGGGATCCATTACCCAGCGTCGTGTGGCAGACACAACATCGGAAGCACTGTACATGGTAATACAGACCCAAGGATTCAATAACCATAGCAGCTCCAAAACCTACAGCACAACAATCATTAATAAAGGTTAATATAATGCTTTAGTCCTTTACTTGTTCAGAATTATATATGTAAAACTAAAAATACAGATTTTGAGAACTTGGCTTTCATTTTCAGGAACAGTTATTGAAAATAACATACCGGAACATTTTCCTTTATTGCAAAAACATTTAAGGATAAATAACACAAACAAACTTTTTTCAGAAATCAGCATTATTTCTCATAGATTTACATTTAAATTGACAACCTGAATAATGTTTACCAAGTAGAGTGGGAAAATTTTATAAGATTTTGTCATAGTTAAAAAAATGTGCAAAATTTTGTATGGAATTATATAGAAGGCAAAATAAAATCTCAAATCTTAACACCAAGGAAAACCTACGATTTCTTTATATTTCAGGGATTTATTATTTATATCAATACAAATCAAAATCAGTCAAAAAATATATATCAACCCGCGCATCCATTTTTTGTTTGTGGTAAGTACCCTTAAATATGAAAAGATACATAATTCTGAACTCCTAAATCTTCCAATTTAATTTTTTAAACTTAGCTTGCATTGTTTTTTCTTATTCAAGTTTGTATAATAGATCAGGAAATAACAACTTATTATCATTGTCTGCAATAAGGAATGTTATTTTTTAAACATCTTGACATCATTTATTACAAAGCAAAACATCGACACAGGAAGGATGAATAAAGCATGGGACAACTTACCTAATTCTTGTGCACAGTGAGAGCACAGCTGCTTTCCGCTGACAGCCATAATTTGTTCAGCGTGACTGGGGGGTGAGGACGGGGAGGGAGGGGTGGGGGAGCCCCGGGATAGTCGCACACTGGTGTCTGTCTTTGGTCCATGACCATAACTGTAATTAGCTGGAAGCGTCTGAGACAGTTTGTCTGGTTCATTCACAGCACTAAATTGTTTGGTATTCAAAGATCTAGGGGAAATCACACTGTTAGTTGTATATGTCTGTTGTTTCGGGATAGAGGTATCATCTCGCCAACGATTGGCTAGCCCCTCCTGATGCACCGGTTTGATTGGTCCTCCATAAGAATGAACAGAATGGCGTTTATTATCAGCCCTTCTCCTCCTCTCTGCTTCCTCCACCATCCAGTGTGTATTGTGGTCAGATCTGTGGGGCCGGGTCTGTGTTGGATTATAGTCATTGCTGTGTTGTCTAGGTTTTGGCACAGAATTAGAATGAACTTCCTTTGAGCTCTCTGTCTCTGGTTCAGCTTCGGGTTTTTTCTGTAGAGGAGTGGGTTTTCGGTTCATGGCCAGCATGTCTTCCCTTGACCACCTCTGCTTGTCCTTGTTAGGATCTGGTGCCCACAAAGTCTCCAGCCTCCGAGGTCCCTGGGTGGTTTCCTGGGACACACTGAACTGAGTCACATTATCACTAGGTTTATCATAACCATTCATTTCACTCTTGGTTCCATATGTTGAGCGTTGTTTGGATTTTTCCTCCTCCTGTTTTTGTCTTTCCAGAGCCTCTCTTTCACGCCGAACTCTTTCTTGCTCAAGACGCAACTTTTCTCTCTCCTTTCTAATTTCTTCCTGTAACAATCAACAAAAAACTCAGTGAAAGAAACTGCAATTGACAAACATTGATACAACTCTTTAAGCTGAGCAATACCTCCTGCTTTTTCAGCTGTTCCTCTTTTTCTTTTATTCTGCGCTCTTCTTCCTCTTGTTGCTGGTCATGATGTAAATCTCGGCTTGGAAGCACACCTACACAATGATAGCATCATGTATTTAGAAAGAATTCCTTATGTGTCTATTTATAAAGTTACTCACATTTTCTAAACACTTTGATGCATAAAACAATGAAACTTGAGAGTATATTTTGTTGTAAGGATAATGTTCTGTTGCTGATAATCAAGGTGACTTACTTCCTTTCTCTTTTGGTTGATCAAGATTGACATGGAAGCTGTACTCATGTAGAGGTGCAGGCTCCCTTAAAAAGATAAAACAAAACTGTTCTTAGGAACCATCAAACATAACCAATTACTACGAATTCATTACAAATAAGCTTTTAGACTAGTTCTCACCACACAAATGCAAGCATATTATACAAAATGAAAACAATAATTTTGCCAAAATTAGAATGAAGGAAGTTTGATGTTCCATGGTAGGAAATTCTTTGAGGACCATTTTGATGCTTACTCTTCATTGACCTGGTTGCGGGGGTCAATAATCAGTTGAGATGTAGCCGTGGATATCTGGAGAGTCACAGGCTGTCCCACTGTCGCATCATAACGGGTCTCCTTCGCAGGTTCCTGTAAAAACAACCATGCCTTCATTTGTTGGAAATGCGTCAAATCTAATATCAAAATGCTTAATTGAACACATCTTAAAATTAATTTGTGAAGTTTTCTTTTTTGTTCACTATATGTGGAAATCAAATGAAATTAACAAGAGAGTTGTATGTGTGTGTTTGTGTGTGTGTGTATTTTAAACAATGAGGTCAAATGTCAAGGCCAAGTAAACTCCAATCATGGCAGATATAACCTAATCATTTCATTTGATGAAAAAATCATACTTTTTTTTATAAAAGGTAAAGAAATGCATTTCTTAACTGGTCTTATGGTCAAAGGTCAACTCTCAAGGCATAATCCATATTAATACAAATGTAATTTGAATACAGTCTTTAACAAATATAAATCCATAGACAGAACCTTGCTTTGCAATCTGCCAGGTTAAAAATGTTAAATTAATATTAAAGTGTATGCATTTCTTTTTGTTAAATTATGTTAATATCCTTGCACAAAGGAGTTAAGATCACCATTTTTCAATGTAGTTTTAATTAAATCAACAGAGAGGTTTCCTCTTGATTCTCATTAAGGATTCATAGCAATGTAAAGTAACAGTTGTTTTTGTATATTTTTTGTTACATAAATCAATCTTGTGGTCTCGTCATTTTTTAAATACGTAACAAACGACAGACTCCACATGCCTCACCTATTCATGCATTCACTTTTTTTATTGTGGCATTTTATAGTGTAAATGGACAGCTGATTAATTCGTTTTATATGCCCTACTTATTCTTTATAATAGAATACAGAAAAATAACTCACTGTTTCTGCATGGCTTGGGCTGGCTTGATTGATGTTGAACTGCAAGGAAATAAAAAAAATTAATAAACTACAAGAAATACTTAGATTTAATATTCAGAACAGTTATAAATACTTTATAAATTATATGTAACTCGATATTCATTGAAAAATTTTTTATTATTCAATTTACTGGGAACTCCCAGCTTAGCAACTACTTGGAGAGGGATTCTCAATAAATCATGGACATGGGTATAACCATTAAACAAATAAACCAGAAGTCTCTGTCGAGACTGAAGCTCTACTGGTTTGAACTTATAGCAAAGGAAGAGAAAAGTAGTTAAGCAGCTGGGATTTGAAACTTTACAACAGCAATAAATAGAATAATGATCGTTGATAAAGTCTCTTTATGTTCTTAGTGTAGTCTACTTGTGTGCCATGTTATACTGAAATCAGACCAAAACTGTAGGAGGAGTAGCATTTTGAAAGAATTTCACAGAAATTTCTATTTTTAGTAACCACGGCAACACCGTTCATCAAAATCAAAAACTGATACACAGAATTATGTATCTTAGTGTATTCTACTTGTGTGCCAAGTTATACTGAAATCAGACCAAAACTGTAGGAGGAGTAGCATTTTGAAAGAATTTCACAGAAATTTCTATTTTTAGTAACCACGGCAACACCGTTCACCGAAATCAAAAACCGATACACAGAATTATGTATCTTAGTGTAGTCTACTTGTGTGCCAAGTTATACTGAAATCAGACCAAAACTGTAGGAGGAGTAGCATTTTGAAAGAATTTCACTGAAATTTCTATTTTTAGTAACCACGGCAACACCGTTCATCGAAATCAAAAACCGATAAACTGAATTATGTATCTTAGTGTAGTCTACTTGTGTGCCAAGTTATATTGAAATTAGACCAAAACTGTAGGAGGAGTAGCATTTTGAAAAATTGTTTACAGACAGACGGACAGACGGACGGATGCCGGACGCATTACTATCGCATAAGCTCTTCTGGTCTCTGACCAGTAGAGCTAAAAAACAGTGAAATTCCATATCTCATTTCTAAATAAAAATGTTTTTAAAGATAAACTTTTGTAATAGATAATGTGGAAACAAGGCTTTATGTTGATTACACATGATTCTGAACATCTTTTGTTCAGTTCTGCAGTTATGTTCTCAAACAGTGCAGTCACAATTAAAAAAAAACAACAACAAAACACAAGTCAGTGTTGCTTGTGCACTTGAAAAAACTGCCACCTTGCCAAATTAAATCCAGTCTTAACTGACATGTAAGCTGCATTATAATAAAACAAGTATTCCACTCAAATGAAAAACCCTTTCTCATGTGACTATAGATCATACATTAAGAATAAGTGATCATTTGTAAAATCCAGGTCAAAATCTTCACAATTCTTTTAATTGTGCAAAACTAAAGTCAGATCCAAATCAAACACAAACTATGCATGTTGCTGGTCAAAACTGCACAAACCACCTCTATGAATACCTGTCCCATGGTCTTCTCTAAGAGTTCTTGTCTGACTCTTTCAAGCTCTTGGGTAATTTTCCTTAACTTGACATCAAAACCAACCTGGTCTGGAACAAACTGTGAATCCTCAGTCGCTAAACTGGGAAAGCTGGTTGATCTTGAATGAGCATTCAGCCCATTCTCTTGTTTTGGTCTTGAACGGACTCCAAATTTGATAGAGTCTCCACTACTTCCGGTTTTGCTGTGATCCTCTACAGAACTAGTAACGCTACTCTCAGCTTCATCTGAACTGAAATCACGACTAACTCTATTAATCTGAGCAGTTACTGTATTCTTAAAATTCTTGGTAGCCTTAAAGCTTGCCTTTCTCCCTAATTCTGTTTGCCATGGAAACATTGAGGTCAGGCTTTTATCAGTCCTCAGGTCAACTTCTGGTTCCGAGTCTACATCGAGGTCCATATCCACAAGATATGAGGACTCTGAGGGCCATTTCTTCATGACAGGGGTCCCTCTCCTGGGCATCCTGACCTCAGTTCCATCAGAAACTATTCTTTTGGTCCTGAAAGAGTCCAGAGAATTCCCTTTGTTTCCACTCTGAATGCCATATTTGTTCACCATGATTCTTGGACTTTTCATATTTCCACTGGTGTCTTTTTGAGTAGGTTTGTGGTTAACTTTGGTATCATTCTGATTTAGATTCTTGGTTTTGGATTCCTCTGGCTTTTCTATTCTTAAGTAAATGTCCCTAGTTTTGATTAATCTTCCTGGCTGATCTAAGCCATCTTCCTGAGACATGTGTCTTGTAAGTTGATGCGTTCCTGAGTGGAACTGTTGTGACAAGTTTGTTGCACTGCTAGATTTTTGTCTGGAGAGGTTAGTTTTCTCTCCTGTATTGGAGGTAAAGTTAGTCATAGCAAAAGAAGAATTCCACTTGTTTTTAGATGGTTCCTTGTTGTTCTGTGAGCTGTTTCTAGACAGGGTTAATGATGCCTCTAGATATTTGTCAGACATTGTGCCCATGTTTTTAATGTCCCTGACACTTGTGGAATCTGTTTGATGCTGTTTATCTCCACTGAATGTTTTAACAGATTCCTGACTGATAGCGCATCTTGCTTTTGGATTGTTTCCCTCAGTGACTGGAGATCTACACCTTGTAGGTTGTAGATGACTTGGTATTGCATCATTCTCAGACATACTTCGAGAGGGAACAGGCTTTTTAGTCATGGCTTTGTCATTTACAATCTCTGTAGATTCACTGCTAGATCTATTTTTGACACCTTGTGAGATTCCAGTAGGTCTAAGACTGCTAGGACAAAATGACCTAACCTCACTCATCAGATTACTTCTGCTGGGTTTTTGTGGAACGGGTGGCTTTTTCTTAACCTTGACATCATTATTGTCAAACTTACCACAAAGATTTTGAAAAGATTGACTCTTTACTTTAATACTACTTGCCTCGGCTTGCAGAGATGAAGAACTCAGACGTTTATCAGCATCACTGTCCAGCGAGTTGGAAGAGGAGGACCGCCCTGACCTTGACCTTTGCCATCGCCTAAGGATGTCTGGAGGCTTGAACAAATCCTCGTCCAGATTACTGGGTTTTAGAGGAGGGGGTGCCTCTGAGGGTGGTGGTGGGGGTGGGGACTCTTGAGGGAAAGAAGATTTTGGTACCACTGGCGGCTCTGGTTCTACGATCTCAGGTTCTAAAATCAATAAAAACATTTTTTAGTTCTCTTTCTCAAACTCTTACTTAATCTCATGTTAAGCAGCATTTTGGAGAAATTTGTATATTCTTTTTAGATAAAAAAAAGACTTAAACCATTTGTTTAGCTGATGCTTTGTGGTGATTAATAACCTTTATGTTTCCTGAGAGTGATGGTAGGTCTCTGAACCACCTCTGTTTCTATCAGAGGGGACTCCTTCTCACGGACCTCTGGGGAGGCTGGGGTCTCCTCTTCTTCTTCTTCTTCATCACTTTCACTCTCACTTGAAGACTCCTTTTGGAAAAACAAAACACACGTAAAGGAATATCAATGAAGGGACAAGAAGTTTTAAAGCCAAGAAGCCCTACTGCTCAGCATGTAGCTAACTGTGAAACCAGTTTGTGTGGTGGATATCATGTTAAAATGATCGGAATAATTCACTTCAGCCTTCAGGTTCAGGTGAGCTAAAATGATAAGGATTTCATAAAACGCCTTTAAATAGTTTTATGGATGATATATACAGTGCAATAGTCTAGGTGATAAAAAACCTCAGAAGATTTACCTTGCAGAATTCCAGTGCATTTACTCATGAACAAAGAAGTGACACAAGGTCAACTTTAACATTAGCTGGTGACTCCTGCCACACAAACAGATAAATCTTTGCTTACTGTTTATGAGTATAATGCTGTGTTAGTCATTACCTGTTTCACATCATTGTTATTTGTCTCTGACTGGCTCGTGTTCAGGGCGGGCGGGTCCGTCACAGGTCTGTGCTCGGCCTTCAGCTTGTCCAGGATCCACATTGGTTCATCGTCCGCTGATTTAGGCTCCTCTTTCTGTGGTTCCTGGTGCGGTGGCTCCCACTTGGTGGAGAAGGATACCTCTTCTTTGGCCTCCTCTCTTTGTGCTGCAGTCCTTTTGACTGTGAAGGAAAATTCATAATTTTTGTTTGAAACATTTAATATCATAAGATTTTCTAACTGTTTAATGCTTAAGCCTCTATAATTGGAGATTCAGGGGCATATAGTTTTTGGTCTACCTGTCTGTTTGATTGTGTGTTTGCTTTATCAAGTTATTCTAGATTTCAAACTCAAGCCTAGGTGCATCACATGAGAAATGTCATGGCTGCAGAGGAGAGCAACTTGTAAACTGGCAGATTTATTTTACCAGTGTTTTTTTGTGTTTAACAGGCCATTTTGTTGACACAAAATAAAAATTCCATCTATTATTAGAAATTGAGTGTAAAAACAATTTATTTTGCCAGCAGTTGTCCTTATTTAAAAATATATTTTTGCACCATTATGGACATGCCATGGAAATGTAGTCCTCTCCAGAAAATATCAGATAAAAAAAATTGGAGAGGGCTACATTAGTCCAGCTTGTTTTTTCATGTTCAAAAAAGAATATTTAGTAATATTTTTTCAATGGAATGGTAATTTACCTGGAACAGGAGGAGGCACTTTCTCGGTTTTCTTATTGGTTACAGCTGTATCATGGTGCCTTTGGTAATAACTAGGACTAGACTCAGTTTTTTCCTCCTTTCTGCTGTATTCAAATGTGGACCTCTCAGTATGTCTGTGGTGTTCTGGTGTAGACTTTTCATGGTGTCTATTATCATCTGGTGTAAACTTTTCATGGTGTCTATGATGTTCTGGTGTAAACTTTTCATGGTGTCTTTCATGATCTGGGGTAGACTTTTCATGGTGTGTATGATCTTCTGAGTCAGATTTCTTTGCATGTCTGTGATGGTAGCTTGGACTGGTAGATGTATGATGGTCAGCAGGTGACCTGTCTGTATGTCTGTGATGGTAAGGGGTTGACTTGTTTGTGTGTCTGTGATGCTCGGGTGTTGACTTGTCTGTGTGTCTGTTATGGTAGCTTGGACTGGTAGCTGGGGAGGTGCTGGTTTTGGGACTGTGTGTTTTGGGGGCCAGGGCAGGGGACTTCCAGATCGGGGAGTGATTCTGTGAGTTTGCTGTTGTTTCCTCAAATGCCTCATCCTCCATGTCATCATCTGTAAATTATTCATAGAAAATTATGTACTCTTTCCTTACATGAAAAATACTGAAAATTTCCCTACATTAATGAAGAATATTCACTTTGTATAGAGGCATATTATATTATCAATGATGGCAAAAATTTTCACCATGAATCACCAACACATGTGGTGTCATTTCAATGTTATGTGAAATAAAGTCCACATTAAATCTATTTGATATAACTTTTTTGGCCCCTGTGTGATAAGTATATGTTTCAGATAATAAAATATTATTTTTCATTCTCAGGAACATAATTCCAAACAATATATCAAATATATAACTGTACGTAATTGTCACCACCCTAAATAGCATCATACCCTTTTTTACACATTTCTTGCCATTTGTTGGTGAAATAAAAATCAGATAAATACATAGCAACAAAACAGAAAAGAGATATGTGTTCCAAAAAAAGCAAGTTGAGAAACATTAGAGAGCATATTTTAAATATTTTGTACACTAATCATAGGTGAAAGACTGATATCCCATAAATAAGAAGCAATTACACAATAGAGAAGTAGGACACAATTCTGAGTGTGAAGCAAGTTTACATTTAAAATGCATATTTGCAAAACTTCACACAAAACACAATTCTAAAATAAAAGAAGACTGCACCTCTCAATTAAAAATTAAAAAAATCAAAATTACCATCTATGTCTGGCCAGCCATACTCTATTAGTAACAATAAGAAGCCTATATGTTTAGACTGATTTTTAAGATTTTGATAAATACTACAAAGACATGTACCCCCATCCTCCCCTCTAAAATGTTGAAGTCAATTTAAGTTATTTAAGACCATTGAATGATACAGATAAGATTCATTCATGCAAGGAAATAAAGAATCCAAGAAAAGCATGACTGATCTTTAGTTTTAAATAACTAGTTATACATTATATTTTAAGAGATATCTGGTTTACAATTTTTTATTAAGCTAAAATTAAAGATCTAAAGAAAATTTATTGAATAATTACTAAGTATGTGCATACAATATTTAGCTGGTGCACTGAAATCATTGTGAAACTTTTAATATAATCATTGTAATTGGCAAGTTCAGAGGTATCCCTGATTTTTCTATAAACATTATTTCTGAAAACCATCAACTAAGTTCAATATTTCATAAAACATTTTTTGTCGATTTCAAGTTTTCCCTACCATCCCCAATCTCTCTCTTGATCTTGAGCTCCAGATGACCATTTCTGACGGAGTTGTCTATGATGTGCTGGACTTGGGGTAGTGTCATGGAGGAAACATCTCTCCTGTTCACAGATAGGATTATGTCCTTCATTTGTAAATCACAGACATCAGCTGCACTACCTATAATACACAACCAGATTTCATTTACAGTAAATGTAATAAAGTAAACTGATTTCAATTACATATACAGTAAATGTAATAAAACAAGAGATGTTTGTAAAACACTTATCCCCCCCCCCCCCTCCCCCAAATAATTGGATTTTTTTCTAAGTCCAGGGGCATAACTCTGTCAAACATGGCTTGATTATACCCAAAACAGAACTAGACCTAGATATTTTTACGATAAATTTGTATACCAAATTTCATTTCAGTATGTGCAATGGCTGTGAAGGAAATGAACAGAAAATTGGTAGACTGACTGACAGACAGCAGCAATTTTTAGCAAGATGCCCTCCTTTCTTCGAAGGGGGGCAAAATAATAAAATGATTTCAATTATAGTAAAAATAACACAGAAACATAATTTTCAAACAGTAAATATGATCCTGAATTTTAATTTTCAATTACAGTAATTTTAAGATTTTAATAAATTTACATTGCAAAATGCTACTACCACTACCATGACAGTATAACTTGGAATTATACTTGCATGATGTGACACTGCCTAATTCTCACAAAATTGATAAATATTTAAATTACATCTCATTAAGAATTGTATATATGCAAAATGAGAATAGTTTTGTTTGAATGTTAAAATAAGAAATAATGTCTGCTTTTTTGGTGTTTATTTATAGAATATCTAGTGCGTGAAGGACTTCACAAATTGTCCTTTAATATATTTTATATATTTATATTTAAAATCCCCCCCCCCTCCCACTCTAACAAAAAAAGGTGACACTTAGTCCTTACAAAAACATTATATTAGATCAGTTCATCAAGGTTTTGTACTTGTAAGTTGCAAGAACTTGTTTCTGATCCATTTGTGTTAAACAATAAAATATATTCAAACCAAGTCAAGGTTTTGTAACAGAAAACAAATACCTATATGGGAGTGTGTGTCTTTTAATGTTAGCATTAATTGTCATTACTAAAAAACCTGATTGCAAGATATACTAACTTTTAACAGTTTAATTATGACACCTTTTCAAAAATTTCTGAAATGTTTCACATCTGGATGTCACACTAACATACTTGGATTCTTTTCTTCTTTTCAAATTTATCAAATGTAAACTTCCCAGTTTAAACAAATTAAACCTATTTCATTTTAATAAAACTTGTTATTCCACTTAAGCTATGGAACACCTTTATCATATTTCTACCTTTTATTCAAAGGCTTAGTTCAAATGTACTTGAATTCCTTTAGTTGATTTGATCAAGACCCCCTATTCTATACATGAAAGCCATTTTGATTTGGGGTTTACCGAGCTTGTGAATTTATTTAAAGAAAATGGACAATATGCCCCTCATAATCCATGCATTAGTGTCAAGATTTTAGCCCTTGTCACGTTAACCTAATACACTCATTCCAAAACAAAAATCCAAATTACACTGGTGTGTTGTCAACCGATAAACAAAAGGAATGACATAAGTTCAATACTGGGTATACAGACATGAACGAAGTATGAAAGAGAAAAAGAAAGTAAACATTAGACTTAAATTTGAATACTTTTGTAAGATGTTTAGATTATTTTCCTTTTTTAAGTTTCAGTTATAATGAAACCCCTACTCTCTTTTCACTCTCCCAATAAAAAGTTTTTGATTGACTATAAAAAAAAGATCATGCTACCTTTTATTTGATGACAAAAATGAAAGTTCCAGGAAATATGAATATAAATCTATGGTGCTCCTTCCTCACTTAATAAATCACCCATAGCTCCCTTCTCCCCAGGTGTGATTTTTAAATGACTTCAAAGAACTTTAAGCAATAATTTCGAGAGAGTTGTCCTTCCTGAGTGAGGAATAGATGGCCTTAAAAACATTTTTTTGACTTAATTTTTTATACTATCAATGATCACACAATCTAGGGTTTTCTGGATTTTCTGGATTAACATTATCTTCCTTCTAAATTGTATGTCAATGTTTCCACCTACTTAATCTATATAACCATCTCATGTATAATACATGCATATACAGAAAAACATTTTTCTTTTCTACATTATGTATATTTAAAGTTGAAATCACTTAAATAGACAACTCATTTCATTTTTGACAGCTGTATAAATAAAACTTAAAAAAAAAACCCCACATACACCATCTCTGAAAGGATACACAAACATCGAACACAAATATTTATACTGTATAGCTATGGAAAAAAGTGAAGCCTTTTTCTATCTACTAGTTTCTTTTCACTGAAAAGAATGTAAGATGTTAAAATAGAATTCACTTCAAATTCCAATTTAAAAATCTACAGGAGATAAAAAGTGTAAATAATCAGAAGAGAAGATTATCATGTCTGGTTTGGGGTGGGTGACCTTTATATAGACAGAGTCTGCAGGGGGGATTACCTACCTATCGTGACTTTGTACACTGTTACAGGCTGTTTCTTTTCCACGCCTCCCGAGATACTAAATCCAAAACCCCTGGAAGTGTTCTGAGGCTTCTGTAGGTTGATCTTTATGTTTTTCTCAGTGAAAGCCTGAAAAACAACATGTTGATAGTGACAGTCGCAGAAGATGGCCACAGAGAGTGCCCCGTAGACAATAGCTCTCCTGTTTGTGTTTTAGGTAACACAAAACCTTGTTTATATACCAGATAGAGTTCTACAGTGTCCTGCAACTACATTAAGTTCTTGTGATAATATTACAGATTCTTGAAATGTTTTGGGTCAATAATGTGTCACAGATGCAAGGTTATTTTGGAACCAAATTTAAAAGGATTATAATCTACACATTATATTATTGGTTTTAAACTTTTTTTGTATTGGATTCCATGTAAGAACTTTTAGATTTTAGTAATTTTTGTTTGTATAAATCCATAATGGCGACATTTTTTTTTCCAAAAATAAATGTTATAGGTGCACAAAGACTATTTGGTATTTTATCTGAATAAAACAATGAAAGCTGGAGACCAACACTGTGACGTTAAAATTGCGGTAGATTCTCACGTGTGAATACCAACATGTATTCAATAGGGTCTGTATTTAGAGTTGTAAGCTTAAAGATATCAAACATTTTATTCCTAATACATGAAGTCTGAAATGATTATTTACCTCAAAGCTTTAGAAAAATAAGTAGGGTAACAGAAATTAAGTAAACAAAAATTAAGACAAAAAAAAACTTCTAAAAAGCTACAGTAAATCTGTGATGTAAATTGGATGATATTTATCTTAAAAATTTTATAAGGAATTTCATTTCACAGAGAAATATTAGAGATAAAGAAAAAAAAACTGTTCATGCATGTTTAAATGCATAAAATATTAATTTTATTAATTTTAAACATCATTTGACATATCTTCCAGGTAAAACATTTATTGTCTATTTAAAGGCCTAAAATGCTTGGCATGCATTCCTAATGCAAATTCCCACCAGTCTGATGTCTGAATTGACATTGTTTTATGTTTTATTGATACGAAAGAAACCCAAGGTACATATATCATTAGTCTATTAACCATTATTTATTGTCTTCATGTTAAAAAAACCAAAATCAATACATTCCATTCTAACAAAGGCAAACAAACTGCATTTAATGATTTGCTGTAGGATGATCAAGAGAATACCTGCCTTTCTAGTTTTATAACATTGTAGTAATCATGAATGCTAATGAGGGAAAGCATGATATTGCAATTTCAAAATGCTTTAAAATGGATCAGACCCACCTAGATAGAAAAGTGTTGCAGGGCCAATACCAAAGTTGTCTCCCTTTGTAGAGACTCATAGTGAATGTAAAATTTTGTCTTTGTAACATCACTACAGTAAAACATGTTTAGTACGAACACGGATATAGCGAATTCACGGATATAACGAAGTGTTTCTGGGTCCCCGGCAAAATTCTTAACAAATCTTTGTAAAATTTTACGGTTTTAACGAACTCTGATATAACGAATTTACGGATATAGCGAACTGATTTTGAGTCCCGTTGAGGTTAAATATAATGAATTTTACATCTTTTATAACGAACTTTCAAAGATTTCAAAATTTGAATAATTGAACTGACTTTATTTTCTCTCAGCATTTGTATATAAAATTCAATTCATCATAAAACCTTAGTTATCGAAGGTATGTTTTGTAATATTTGCTTCCCTAACATATTTGATAGTAACACTTGAAGGAAAACATGCATATTGCGAATTCGCTATATATGGTTATACGAATTCGTTACACGGATATAACGAATTACGGATATAGCGAATTAAATTAACAGGTCCTCAGGACTTCACTATAACCGTGTTTTACTGTATTGAACTTGTACACATGCTATTAAGACATTTATAAACTCTTGACTTTACCTTTGCTGGGTGTGATTTTGCTACAGGTCGATCTGAGAGTTTCACTGGCTGTGGACCATTCGTCTCTTTTTTCTCCAATTCCTGCCATTTTGAACGAGTTCTACCAGCCTCCACACTAAACTCAAATTTCTTCTTTGGCTTTTCGTAATCCACTTGTTCTTTTCTCTCAAAACTTTTTAAAATGTTGCCGATTTTGCTAACAGATGATAATTTATTATCCTCAGTCTTTTTGGCAGTAGAATTGTCATGCTTTGACTGTGTTCTCCAAGAGGAATCACTACTATAAGATTTTTTACTTTCTGACACTTTCCCTCTGTTGAATTTGTCATCGTGAGTGTTTTTTGGAGCACTTGTTTGATCCTCTACAGACTTTTTATCCGGTCCCTCATGTTTGCTATCCTGTTCTTGTTCATCTTCATCCTTTGCCCAATCAGCCACTTCCTTCTCCTCGTAACTTGCTTTGTCACTTCCAACAGAATTCTGAAATGTACAGAGATTATAAGACACTGTTTACTGAGTTAGACATTTTCTCTATTCTATTATTATACTAAGACTTTGAGTAATTTTTACAAAATTAAGGCCTAATCATAAAATAAGTTTGCATGGATCACTCAATAACTTTTTAGCTATGTACAGTGAAACCTGTCTAATCTGACATGCAATGGGAAACAAATTTTGTGCTGGAATAGACAGGGTGTCAGATTACAGAGTGTTAAGGTAATGGAAAGAAGTACAATGAGAATGAAATTATGGTTCAGAATTCAAAGTGAAATGGATTATACAGGTGTTGGATTAGACAGTTTTTACTGTATATAACACTTACAGCTCTGTTTTTGAGAGAGAGGCGCTGCTGTAGCCTGACAGATGGCGCTGTTTCCTGTCGGACCAGTTCTTTCCTCTGTACGACCTCTTCTACAGGGTCAGACTTCTTACTGAAGAAGTCGTCATCATCATCCAGTGGGTAGAAATTCAGGGTCCCTGTACTCATCCTCTTCTTTCTGCAATGGAAAATTGAATATTGAACAAAAGCCCAAAAACTTAAAACAAATTTCTTCTTTTAAAAACATCTTCATAAATCTACACTAAGTAAAAAATATTTCATAAAAATCCCTTTCTAAAATACTGCTTTATCATATTCCATTCTGTACCCTCTGCTTAGAATTACTTTGTCTGCAATGCATTTTTAGCATTACATGTACTTTGCCTATTTGACTAAATATCTTTAAAGCATAAAAGTCACTTTCTTAAATTTCAATAAACCTACCTATCAGACATCATCTCACTATACGTCTTTGGTTTTCTCTTTTCCTCTTCCTCTTGGGTCAGTTTGTCGGTTTCATCGACTCTCTGATACGCAGCAGAGGACGCTCGCCGCCGGCGGTTCTTCCAACTGCTTAGATTCTGTGGAGTACATTGTTTATAAATCATTCATCACCTCCCATTATTCATTACAGCTGACCAGAGGAGAAATAGGCAAGCCAATCAAGATTTACTTCAATATAATTCATAGTATGAAAGTTATACATAGAAAAAAAGAAAAGAAAGTACATATGTTGTGTTACAGACATCTAGAAGCTGTTGTATAGTAAATAAATGTATACACTGTACTAAAAATAAACTATGGCTTGGCCATTGGCAAACTGAATTGGCCTGAACTTTGTATTGGGCTTACATATTTACATGTACCATATCCTAAACTGATTTTCCAGTACCCAGGGTAATTGGGGAATGGAATATTTGTTAATAAACCTAATATCTAAACCATGGCTGAAACTAAGAATTAGAAATTTAAAATGATTAGTTCATTATTCCTTAGGTGGCCAATTCCCATCCAATAATCCTTCAATAATCTACTAAAAATATGAAAATGATCATTGAAAATAAAAAGAAAAAGCATGCTATTAGTATGTATCCTACAATTGTAAATTTTACATCACAGTAAATAACGGTAAGTTATTGGTGGTTATATAAGAAATGAACTGTTTAAACTAAGCTAGATAATTAAGGAATATTAACTAATAAAAGGTCAAAGGTTAGTATGAAGAATGAATTGGGAAAACTCACTGATTGCCAGTCGCCAAGGTCATCTGTAGTCTGGAAAGTGAAGGTCAAGGTCAGCTTAGAGAGAAATACATCAACTAAACATTTGGGCAAACTACAAACTGAAGCTCATTCTAGCTTTTGCAGAAAGCACATTCATTCATGCTAGATGTGCTCAGGTTTAAGGCTCTCTGCTATGAAATTAGCTTTCCATAAGCACTTTTTTAAAATACAGCTAACCATATATTTATTATTTCCCCCTAAAATACACCATTTAGTGAAGTAGTTACTATTTTCTCTCATAACGTCTTTGTTACAATTTGCCATTCCTATTCAATATAAAGCTCTTAGATTCCAGCAAACTGCAAAATAACTTATCTATAGCAGAAAGCTCGTGATTAATATATCTTCATCAAAGCACTGCATGGCTTAACCAGCAATTAAAAAATGCATTTAAAGAATTACTAACTTTAATAGATCTATATAAGAACAATCCCTGTTTCCAAACAAATATCAATTATAGAAAATTTAAAACAGACAATTTAACTCATCAAGCATTTCCAGAAGATATTAAAACCTGGACCCAATTTAACAGACATACATGTTAAATCGATACAAAAAAGTTAGCACTTAGTGATCCGTAAGTGCCAAGCGTTCAACTCTTTAAAGTGAAAGTTGCGGGTCTTTTTCGATGAGACCTTAAAATCCAAGACCCCAAGTCATGATAGGCGTTGGCATGATAAAATTCCTTGTTGTTTAATGATGAATACCGGTATTTTGTTAAAGTTTGGTCTAGCCATTATTAAACCTTTTTACCACATTGACATCTCTTCCAAAAATTGTGGTGGTTAGAAATGAATCTTTTTGTACATATTTATAGATAATATATATATCATGATGGTATGAAGATTAAATTTTATTTAGTGGTTTTTGTAATATATGGATTTAACACGATGAAATTAATCACGGAAAGAATTCAGCATTGATATCCTTAAAAAGTATCTCCATTACTATAAATACATTACATATGACAGAGGTTTTACAATTTATGATTAAGATGATGAACACACTTAAGAAATTACACAGTTAATATGATGGCCTGAGTGTTACAATGTAAATTCTAATAAAATATGATCCCTATAATTTTTATTTCCTTCTGCAATTCATGAAATGACACTTAGTAAGCATTCATGGATTGTGCCTAGGGTTTCACATTATGATTTTAGTTCATAATAGCTACAAGCACCTGACTAGCAAACAACATTTAACATATCTAACAAGCAGATACACTACAAATTAATACACCAGCAGATCACTCTGATTTAAACTAAGGATGCTTTTATCCCATATTCATTATACATGTATCAGTTATAAACTTATATGTTTCTGCTGAAGTCATGCGAGAATTTTACTATATTAATCTTATTGCAAAATTCATGAGAAAAAAAACTTTTTTACCATATCGTTGTAATACATTGCATTTAAGTTTTAATTTTTGTTTTATGTAGAACATTCACTGACAATTTACTTTTGAAAAATGTGATGTTTGAAAATGCTAGCAAGCAACAGAAAGAAATTAAAAGCCTCTCTGAAACTCAAATTCCACACTCATTGACAAAATGTGATTTTTTCACAACTTACCGATTGCCAGTCCACATCATCCTTCTCAGGAATGACTGACCTTGACATCAGTTTGGTTTCCTTGGCTGCCTCTATTTGTTCCTGGGCCTCCTTGGCCAGTTTATCTGCTCCCTTGGACTTGACAAACTGTAGAGGGTCCAGAGTCGAGGAACTGGCCTTCCTCTGGGACTTCAATGTCCGAGTGGGAATATCCACACTAGCACTGTCTGAGGACTGCCGCGAGTGGTTACCTAGGTAACTGCTGCTGTCCATACTGTCAGTGGAGGACCCCCGCCGGTGGTGGTTGGAGTTTGTGTGACCATAGTCATCCACATTGATACTGTTCTGGGTGGCAGAGAAATGGTAGCCACCGCTTGTATTCAGAGAACCTGCACTATTATATCTCCTCATTTTACTGGTTACAGAACCAGGCATGCTTTCATCTTCTAAATCAAGACTAGGGGTAGATTCCTTCGAGACAAAAGAATCACAAGAACTATCCCTGATGTGTTTGTTTTCTAATGAGTCCTCATTGCTCACTCGCGAGTTGGCATCGTGTGAACTGTAGGCACTAGAGGTTTGGTCAGAGGAATCAACGGAATCATTCCTGTGTCGTTGTTTTGGGAGGAGGTCTTTTCCGCTGTACCGAACGATCGCAGAGAATGCTGACTGATCTAGTTGTGGACCACTGTAGGTTTGAGAAACACTTCTTCCTAGCCAGAAAATAGTAATGGCCACCTGTAATAGCAAAAACATAAACAGAATAATCCCATAATCCTCTGTAATGCCCCTTTCTAAAACATTCATTGATAAATCATTGAAGACTTGGCTACATTTACAAAAAAATACCACAGGTTTTGAAAGTTCTGAGGTTTCTAATTGGCAATCAAAGAACACAAAACCTACAGTTCAAATTCAATACAATTACAGGGAACTGCATACACTACACCTTCCCAATCAATTTCACTGGAATGCACACCTTTTAAGGTTAAAGTTTAGGCTCTCCAAGGGATCCAATCAAATAATCTGTCTTTTAGACATGTTTGGTTTGCGGCTCTCACTGTGGGACTACTTATAATCCACAGAAGTCAAAACAGGACTGTATAAACTTACAGCGAGGCCTTAAATATTCTAAACATTGAAAAATGCCAAGCTAATCTGTTTAAAATTCTTCAATAGAATTTTGTCCTGTATATGATCCATATGAACGATTTTTAAATTCTCTGTATGATCTGGTCTAGAAAAGAACTGTTAGGGAGATTAATGTTATAGCTAACAGAGGATATGACAGACTTTAGAATTTTTTTTACAATCTGTTAGCCAGGCATGACATATTCCTAAGCCCAGAACAAATAATAGCATTAAATCACTAGAACACATATATAATCTTACATATATGGAGAACAAATGTATAATTAATGAACTCAAGTGTGATGTGAAACAGACCACAATCCAACCCCTACCAAGTTCATTACCATACAAAAACAATTCTACCAAAAATAATGTCTGAGGAGTATTGGACAATGGCATAATCAGGAAATGGCAAAATGTATATTACGTGCGACCTATGATATAGCTGTACCTGTTACTGTGAAGAATGTTCAAAATCCATCGTAGTAAAATTCCATTTCTTGGCTGCAGCCAATAGAAAATTAACATACAAACAATAGGCCTAGCTCCTAAATGGATTGTGATCAAGTACTGAAATAATTCTTTTAAGTTTAAAAGCCACAGTTTTCCACTAGTTTAATCAGTATTTTGTTTATTTGAACTAGAAACTTTCGTTGTTTTATAAGGACCACAGCCTCAAACAGCTATTCATTTGAGGGGCAGAAAGACATCCTATTTTGTGATCTTAGTATACCAAGTGAATAAAGTTGGACATTAAACATATAAAAGCCCTGCCTACCCACTAAATGCCTCTTCTTGAATGTGCTAGGTAGAAATGAAGGGGTTAAACAGATACCGGTCCAAAAATACTGTCACTAAATTCGTAAAGCATTACGTATAAGATATGTGAATGTCAACTCCACCCTGTTAGAAAAGATAAAATCAATACTTTCACCAACCGCTACGTCAGTGGCACCTATACAAACATCCACGTCTATACACAGGTGTGTACACCGTACTTAATGCTGCCGTCGCGAAAACTAAATTCCTTAAGAAAGTAGGGGAATATTACCAAGTTGCACACTGCTGCATCATAAATTAACGATTACGATCTCCACCTCTTTTTATTGAAGGATATTCAATCATTTTATTTGCATTGTTGAAATTCTTTTATAGAATTTATGCATGTTACGTGGCCCAAGTTTCCTTAAGAAGCAGTAGCTGGCATGTTCAATTCTTACACTGACACAAGCAATAAATTCCATACAACTAATTGTAATCAAATCAAAAGATACAGATTGGTTTTATACCTTCTAAAATTACTCCATCTATCACAACTGTGAAAAATTTTATAAGGGTAATTTTAGTGATTTTTTATCATACCTTTCTGAATAGGGTTTATTTTTGAGGACATACATGTACATGTATATGCAAGGAAAACAAATTAAACTTATAATGTGCAAGGAATTATTGAGCAATATGAATACGTTTTGAATTTCATGTGATTTACACTAAGTATCTCAAATACCAGTACCTAGGTATCGCAAAAAAAAAAAATCTTGGTCCCTTAGAGTTTAAGTTAATCACTTGTACGATTGTAGAAATACTAGTTCTAACACCAACTGAATGAATTATAAGCTCTACAAAGTTTTCCTGATATAACATTAGATATTTTGAGTGGAAATAACAAGGATTAAAACCGATTTTAATGAATTTTTGGGTGTTCAAACAACATATTATCAAAATATATAAGCTAATGACAATTCTTGACTTTGACGGGGTATCCCCCCTGTGTACCAGGGATATTTCTTTTCCAAATGAGATAAGCTACTTTACTGGCAGTCTCTCTTCTTTTTTTTTTTGTTTGGAGAAGGGGACAGAATTAATGAGAATGATAAAACACAATTCATTATGTCATTGTTTCACTGGTGCATCACATGGCTGGGAGGCGAATTCTCTAGTTAGCATGCATTTTCCTGATGAAGGACACATTTTTCAACAGGAAACATGCTGAAGAATTCATCAAGATATAAATGATAGACTGAATAAGAAATGAATTCCCTACAGATATATACTAAATGTTTTATTGCTTCAAATTAATGTTTTTTTAAAAGGATATAACTGACAATTAAGACATCACATAACTTAAGTATTTTTTTCTTTTACACATGTAGTCCCTTATTCTAGTTTGGGGTACTTTGATAGAGTAATGCTACATAATGCTGGATTTTTACATCTCTCTTTATTCCCAAAAATTTTAAATACCAATACCTCTACATGGTTCCAAATAAAGCCCAAATTTGCTATTTTTCTGAAGAAAAATAAACTACAACCCCATCACCCCCTTTTTTTATAACTCACCATAGTAGATCTTCAACAGTGGCATAGATCCGACGATTTCAATGAGTTTTATATTAAAATAGCTCTAAAAATTTTACATTCAACAGTATTTTCTTAAATTTTTGTATACCTCATTTTTATGAGGGGGTAGGGGGTAGGGTGGGGGCTGTTGTTCAATAATTGACCCTGCATCACAGTGACCAATTAGTAATTCAACAAAGACAAATACACTTATCAAACTGTTACATAATGCATATTCAACACCTCTCACATTTTATGTCCTGGCCCCTGGTAACATCTCTCTGTGTCTCATGTTAACACATGTCATTACTAGTTATTGATTTCCATAATGAATTAGTCCTCTTGTTATCACAGTAATTTAACCACTGCATTCAAGGGAGACAGTGGGAGTTAGCTCCTGATAAATTCTACAATTAATTTTTATCAGAACGGGTCAGCATATGGCATCAGGAAACAAATATTTAATATCAATATTTTAAGACATATTTGTTACAAAGCAGAGAGAAAATAAAGACTATAACTGCATACTTACATTCAAAGCTCTTCTGTCGACTTCCTGCTTCAGATTATCCGAGCTAAAAGAAAATAAAAATAATTAAACGACAAATTAAAAAAAACTTCGCAGCACAAAAAAATCGGATGTCTCCAGTGTTGCCTCAAATTTTCCTAATTATCCTTGTATGGTTAAGGTATGCATGAATTACCGGCATTGACAGGGCTGGGAGAAGTGTTACATGCTTGCTCGGCAGGTAATGATGCCGTCTGATGACATCAAACGGTCTGTTTTATGTCCAACCAACACTTAAAACACAACTACAAACCGACTAAAAAAATCAACCGGTCAATACACAAACCAAAACCTCCTCTTTTGTCGACTTTTCCCTTTTATCTATTAACTGCTACCAAAAATAAAAGAAAATGCATGACACCGAATTTTACAGCATGCTGCACATTTACAATTCATTCAATGCATGGCGCTCTGGAATGTACGCGACCAATGGACCCTGACGTGACCTCTATGACCACACTAGGTTAATAAGACTATTATACCTGCAAATCCGGAGTTGTATTTTCTGACAAGTTCAAACACACAGAGATATAATCTTAGTATTCCATTATTCTTGGTATTTGTAGTTTTCAAAACACAGGTGTATTTAAATAAACACAAACAGAATAAGGTATTATGAAATTTAAATCAAAAAGTTCACTAAGCTTTTCCTTAATTGCTATGAATTTTGAAAATAAGATTAATGTCCTATTTTCAAATCTTTCTTTTTTTCCACACAATTCTGTACCACAAATCCCTTTCACCTACTCCCACAAACAAAAAAAATCTCCAAACCAAACATCAGTCATTCAACTTAGCACACTGCTCAATCATTTCAAAGTTTCAAAAATATTTCAAAATTAACATAATTTTAATCAATTACTTTGTCAAAATCAGGAAAGTCATATGTCTTCACTATTCAGGGGGAAAAAATGTAAAAATGGAAAGGTAAATCAACACTCCCCAGTGCATGCTTAAGATAAATGTGACTTGTATTAAAGTAGAGTCCTTTTACAGGTAAATACAGCATTTTGATAAATATTTCAAATTGAATTTAAGAAGCATTGCACAATTGACAGGAAAATTATTACATGTTCACGAAACCAAACTATGCGATGACAAGGAAAGTGAGGCCCAATTAACAAGTGCTAGAAAGAGTTACCTGTCACTTATAGCAAGTGAAACATACCTGAACAGGTAAAGTTATCATCGCAGATAAATCTTGAACATAGTGTCATAGAATATACAATAACAACTGTTATCGCCTGGAATGTCGCAATACTGGTATGGAGCTATAATCTTGTATATTGATAGCGAGGTCGCATGTCAATTCACAAAGGTTATCTGCCTGAAATGAACACTTTTTAACTGAATTTTTCTTTTTCCTTTTTTTTTTGAATCCAGCTTTGATCTTGCCCATGGAAGGGAAAATTGCTTTATTTGTGACTTGCACATTTATGGGGGCTGTTTTTAGTGACTGACAAAGAAGTTGCTGTGTAAAACTTTGTGATCCTTCTTAACTCCACTTCAAAGACTATCTATGTCTAAACTTATTAATTACATTTTAAATACCGATCAGCTAAAAAAAATACAGACAAGTACTTCTTCAAAGGGGTATCTGTAGCATATTGCTTTGTTACATAGGACTTTAAAATATCCAGTGTTCTATATATTACATGTATACAATTATAAACTAATGATAGAACAAAATATTGAGACAATACACCTAGGGTTCCTTCTTGTTGTGTGTGAATGTCTTTTCTTGTAACAATCAGAGTTGGCAGGACTTCTGTCTGGTTTTCAAATTATGAATTATTATGAAATATGCTATTGTCCTCAGTCAAAAAAGACAGCTATTATACCATTGAATTTCAAAAACCAAGAATCGACACAGCCAACGCCTACCAAATTTCTGAAGAATAAAATGCTCATCATACGTCAGCCTTTTTACAAAAAATACTGATGTTTCGACAAAAATGTATACCCCCTGGACAGCTTAATTTAGTTATTTAAGGAATACCTGTATACCAGATACAAATAAGTCAAATTTACCTTTAATCTGGATGATGAACCCTGTTTTTCAATTTAACAGATGTAGCATAGTAGTAAATGCACACATGTGAGTTTGTTTTATGGACTTTTTTTTTTTTACGTGCACAATAGCACACCTGTCGATATATCTTTAATAATTTATATTTGTAGAACAATGCAATGCACTTTGAGTAACCAGTCCATGCATAGAGTGAAAGATACATTGATGTTTCCTTTTGTTTGATCCATCTCAATACCACATTTTTTCTCTTTTCACAAAGTCACAATCTGTCTTCAGATTCAATATTTTTTGGGTGTGAGGGGTTTGTTAGGAAAGAGTGGAATCACTGTCAACAAAAAGGGTGTTTTCCCTTCTTATCCTATTCTAACTCCTGCTTTAAAATCTGATGGACACTTAATTTCCAAATTTGTTAACCACAGAAGGTTTTCATTATGGTCAACTGTAATAAAATAAATGCAAATGATATACTTTTATAAGTAAAAGTACTCTAAACATTGATAGTCTGTAACTATGCAGTTTTTACACACATTAGTACAACTGCACTGAAAAATGCATCATCTTTACAGTCTGCACAGCCCCACCCCTTTCACCATTCTGACAGTTTCCTTGAGTTAGCTTTCTAAAACTATGTCTTAAAATGAATGCACTTTGCAAAAAGAACTTTGTATCAAGGTTATGAATCTTTCTGCACCTACTGTAAAAACACTTAATTTTCCTGTGGTCAAATTTTTCATGTCTTGAAGAATAATTGCTGGTTTGAGGGGATTTGAGACAAATCATTAATGCATTTTGTGAATTAGGATATAAATTTGTGAATCTTGATCTTCATGTGACAAAAATTAAACACCCATAAAAATGTTATTTCACCATTTCTACACCTTTCTTTTTCCTTTATTATTGCAATACCTTAACAAATCTCAAAATGATGTTTGTTTTTTTTTTTTTATAAAGAAATGAAAAAAAAAAATACTCTGAAGAGCTTTAAGGTTCTTTTTGATAACTTTTTAGTGACAGGGTCTATTCATACACACCATGTATAGTATAGGCCTGACCCCCCTCTTTTGGTTGAAGGCATTCATAAAAAAAATCTGGTAATAAGTTTTTGAATCAGATATTTAAAAGCGTTAACTCATTACATACCTTCAAATATTGATTTTCTGGCGTCTCGGACAACTCCAAAACCACAAAGGGTCAAGTCAGAATATGGGCATAAAAGATTATATAATCCTGATGTTAAATACCTTGAGAAACAGATTATTCCTTCTATCCTCACCAAAATATGGATTAATATATTCAAAGTTTACAATCCAAAAGTGTGCACCAAATGAGTCACCCCCACAGTTATTGAAATGCCTAAATGCAGAAGAAATGTTTAAAGGTAGAGGATTACGTGGTCGACCTTAAAACACATAATGGTTTATTTCTTCATGACAAACAGGATAGACTACTGTAACTCATAATAATATCATCAATATACCTGGCTGGGGCTCCCTATGGGGAATTTATAGGTCGTACCTTACAAAAATCAATGCACACAAAAATCTCATTGGTGTGATCTACATTAATCAAATATTGCCTGCCAACTTATTCTTCCACCTTTTGTGGTGCTAACTTTTTTCCTATTATTTTTATACATAAAAGTTATGTAAAGAGGGAAATTTATACACAGTTATGACCCTTGATGAACTTGAAGTAATTGGCGAAAAACTAAAAATAACGCAAAAATTTAATTTTTATTTTGGCTTGGTTTTATTGACAAGGACTAAGACAAGTAATCAAAAATCAATAAAGGTTAAAAAATAAAATCACAATTACATAAAATAAAGTGTCTTACTGAATTGTTGAACATAAAACACCATGTGAATAGTTCACAGACCTTTTGAACATAATTCTCTCTCTGTACATAATATTTTTTAAGCATTTCAGTTGAGCTACATGTTATCTCAAACACCCATATTTTGAATAGTAAAGAAATAATAATGCCCTGTTCACATGGAGAGTTTAATTCGAAATAAACGTAAGTTTACTGCAAATTAGCTTCGCTTAGCGTTCACACGGAGAATTTAATGCGTATTAGTTTAATTCGAATTAGTTTACTGTGCATTAAATTACTTCGCATTAGCTCTGATCGAGTGAATGCTAAGCGAAGTTAATTCGAATTAAATTCTGACGCATGCGTAATGGCAAAATTTAGTCAAATACCACTTGTTGATGGTCAGCTAGAGGTACTTGTGCTATTTTTGAGTGAAAACTAAGGAAAATTTTGTTAATCATTAAAATGTGTGTACAGACACTGTGACATTATGTCAAATGGATCTGCTCTGCAGAAGGTGACGTGATTTGCAAATGACGTCATAATAGCCGTGCTGATGCCGTGCTGCAGAAGTAAAATTTTAATTCGCATTAGTTTACTTCGCATTAGCTGTCGTGTGAATGCAATTTAATTTGCATTAGTTTGATTCGCATTAGTTTTCTTCACATTAATTTACTGCCAATTAAACTCTCTGTGTGAACAGGGTATAAAATTCAAAAATTTGAACAATAAGTTAGAGATTCTTCGATACAAACATAAACTATTATGCTGCGTAGTATTTCAACATTTCTATTTTATAATATTTTTTTTATGATTTATCAGGCAAGTGTGAAGCAACTTGGGGGGTGGGGTGGGGGGCACAGCCATAGATTTTCAGTTGGGGAGGGATCGAGGCATTATCAAATACCAAAAATTCCTTGACAAGCAAAATGAAAGAGACATCATCACAAATTTTTATTGAGGGTGCAGGCATATAGTACAAGTACCTTTGTTTTATATAGTATTTTATATATCAGCAAATTATTGCCCGAGGGGGGGGGGGAACACATTGCTGTCCCTGCACCGAGGGAAAAAGGTATTGACTGTACAGCCATTTTTTATTTAAAAATAATGGTGCATTTGTAATATTAATTAAAGATTGATTGTATAGAGTATTGTTTACATTTCTCACGAAATTTTTTTACTCATATGGAGACGCCACCACTTGCCGGTGGAGAGGGACCTTTTTCGTGCCAGCACTGCAGCAGTGCATACACTTACTGCGACACGGGACCTCGGTTGATAGGTCTCACCCGAACAACCGGTCTCCACGTCCCACAGTGTATTAATTTAAAAAGTAATTCTCATTAAATAAAATATCCGACCATTGAAATCACACAATTTTTAAAACCAATGTCGAAAGATCGAATAAGATGATTATTTACCATGCCTGTGCAGTGTTACAAACAACTAAATTTGAAACCCGGATCGGTTTTTTCCGAAATACGTTGCCGGTCAATAGAATGTTTTCCAAAAGATTCTTGATTTCTTCGTCATTAATCTCAGGAAATCTCTCTGCCATAATTGTTTACGTCCATACGCAATGTTTTGTAAATTTGTTGACCGGTTAATGAGAACATGCAATGACCGGTCAATCATCAATAGATCAGAAAAGATAAGAAAAACTGAAAACACATACAGAATAGATTAAAATATTAAATCTCTAATAAAACAAAAAAATTCACTTGATTAGGTAATAAAGTATTTTATATATCAGCAAATTATTGTACAGTTAAGTGCAAAAAAGATTGCATAAGGGTTAAGAGTTTTAAATCATACAGTTTTTTGTTGACTTAATAATGAATCATTTCAGACCTTCATATATATATACTTGTGTTGAGTTTAATACCAGTCTCTCCAAATCAGAGAAGCCAAGGTATCTCTAAAAATTTACAGAAAGATGTAATATAAGATAGCATAAATAAATGTAGAAAAGCAATTTATCTGTTAAAATTTTTGTTTTTGTTTTTTCTTTCAAGGAAAAATTAATGAGAAAGAAAAGTTAGTAAGAATGTGGCCCGGACATGACAAAGGTATGTAGGATATTTCCTGTTGGGGCTGACTACAGGTAGAAACACTCATCACTGACAGCAAGTATGGCCTACCTCTCGTGAACTCTGGGCAGACGGAGCTTCTCCAGGTTTCTAGGGGTCACTCCAGAAATAATGTCTCAACCAATGCAGATGCATGCATGTATTTAATTGCATTGTGTATTCTAGGCAAAGTATTATCATTGCTTCTTAAAATTTGCTATTTTGCAGGTAAACAGATTTTTGTATGAACTGGTATAATACACCAAAGGCATTTTTTCATTCTACAAGCAATGATCAGGCACTAATATTGAAAGAAAATCAGTTCTGACCAAATGTTGCACAATCTGGATTTGCAACATCAATTTAGCAACATGTTCAATCTTATAACTTATACATCTAACTTCACCAGATTGAAAGTCTATACATGTATATGCATGTTCTTTATTTGCTTAGGGTATGATTTTTCCAAAAAGATGTCATGCAAATAGACTGTAGCTTCTGAGGTATATATAACATGTTGACAGTTTGGCTGGATTCGGCTACCTGTTGCCCTCTCTACTTGACCTTTGGGTATATACTTTGTGAGCATGTTAATTAAATTCACCAAGCAGAAAACAATTTGACAATTTTGAAACAGGAACCATATATATCTCCCAATATGGTACTGTCTTGAATGAAAAACATAAAATTCCTTGTTTCAACTTGGGTTGGTTTCAGGTGACTATACATGATGGCTTACATGACAAAACATCATAAGACCTTTTTTTATGTGTTAGAAGTGCTATAATTGTTCCCTCACATTTTCAGATGACTGACATTGTTTAGAACAAGAAATGGGAGACTGTTGATTCTTTAAAGAAATCCAAACTGCTTCATTAAACAAAGCTCTAGTAGGAGAGCTAATTATAGGCCGTCTCTTACCACCCTGATCATACTCGGTAAATATTCTGCCAATTTTTAAAAAAATTGATAAAAAAATCACTCCTTATAAGTTCAATAACCCTTGGGAAAGTTAAATATGTTCATAAAACTGTAGGTGTTATGATGAACAGTTTAATTCAAATTTAACAGCTGTAACCATTTTATTCCTAAATCTTCATGACAACAAAAAAGACGCGACATCTGAATTTTATCGCCATACCAGTGTAAGATGACCATTCACTCAATTTAAAACCACAACACAATATCACAACTCAAGATCTAATACATTACTTTTACATTAGGCATACGGCTGAATTGATATTAAAATATCTATAAAAAGACAGAATTTGTTTAATCTAGACACAACATGCTTTCAAACATGCCTTTCTGCTGATTGCCCTTGCCTTGCGGCAGCATAAACATACCTTTCAAATGGCCAGGTATTAACTCTGTCTTAATGGTGGACAGACATTTTACTGTATCAACTATCCTACAAAGATTCTTTACAAATGAGCTGCAGTTTTTTTTTCACCTAAAACCATTACCCCATTTTTCAAAGTACACATGATTATTCCATTTACATAAGGTGGGAAGAAATTGGTAAACCTTCGTTTAACTTGTGGTTGTCAACACCATTTTATCAGTAGGATTTCCTCTGACAGATATAAGAACTTTTTCTGAATAAAATCCATAGCTGACAAAACAGCAGGGTTATAACAGGGGTTCCCCAGTGTTAACCATAATGAGTCAATGCCATGAATGTACTGATTAATTTAAGACATGAAATACCCGCTGAACTTGCTATACATTTCATTCGATTAAATAAGGATAGTAGAACTAAATCATTATGCACCTGATACCTATTTGCCTGACAACTAGTTCTCCTATATCCCCATTTTACAATCTTCATACTTTTAAGAACCATTCCCTTCAGATTTCATGATTGAAGACTAGAATTTGAAATAAGAATCATCCCCTTCAGATATCATGATTGGAGACAACAATATGAAATAAGAACTATCCCCTTCAGATATCATGATTGGAGAATACAATATGAGATAAGACCATTCACTTTAGGTAATCATGATTGCAGATTACAATATGAAATAAGAACTATCCCCTTCAGATATCGTGCAATATGAAATAAGACCTTTCCCCTTCAGGTAATCATGATTAGAGACAGCAAAATGAAATAAGATCTATCCTCTTCAAATGCCATGATTGGAAACTGCAATATGAAACAAGAGTTATCCCCTTCAGATATCCTGATTGGAGACTGCAATATGAAATAAATATTGAGATCTAGATTTAAAATCTTTCCCTAAATTATCCTACATCTATCCAGTGATTCAGGATGACAACAGTACCGGTATATGTAATTCCTGCAGGTGCTGCTTGTGTCAGCTGTATCTAACAAAATCTGGCCTTTGTCTCTTTTGAATAGAGGAATCTCATATGGATCTGTTAAAATTAATCATTTGGATTAAGGAAAGCACCAGTTTGTAAATCCTATATTGGAGATGCCTGCTTGTGGCACTTAGGTATCTAACAAAACCTAGCATAGCCTTGTTGCTACTTTTCTCCTGGACATTTTCCAAAGTGGGAGCATATTATAAAACCATTCCAGATAAAACATAAAAAATGGATGTTGAACTTCTGCAAAATCTTCCTACTGAGAATTACTTTACAAGAGAATGACATTAAAACTTATGCTGATTGAAAATTTAATGTCTAAGACTGTAGTTTCTATGAATAAAAATTTAATCTCAAAGTTTATTGGCTCTGTTGTATGGAAAAAATATCACATTTGTTACTTTAATCTCAATCCTTTATACAAACACATTTTCTTCAATCTAAATGCCTTTTTAAGTCACCATTAAACCAGTTTATTGTCTGTGTGTTTGTGTGTGTCCTACTTACTCTGCAATAGCTCGCTGGGATAAATCCTCCAAGTCCCCGATGTCAAACAGCTGATTACTGCCAAGTCCAAGGGTCTCCCGGCAAGATTTTAAAAACACATTAATGTTATCCTGAAAAGAGGTATAAAGCAATCAGTAACTTCAAACATTGTAACACAAACGAAATCTTTGGAATGCGGCATTTAAACATTCAAGTGACAACGCTTAATGCATTTTAAAGGATATTACGAGATAAATTAACTAACAATTATGTGTAGAATACACAAGAAAATCCACCAAAAATTATTTGCAAATTAAGCAATATCCTTTTAAAACAATTTTTTTGGACCCTGTCACAAAAATTTCATACACTCAGAAATGTGAAAAGAATATGGCGACCCTTGCTTGCATAAAGTTAAATATTTAAACATTCTTGAAGTAAAACAACCAATCAAGCCGTTGTGCAAACATCCTTTGGCAGAGAGAGCCGTATCATAGAAGACCTGGCCAAAAGAACGGGTCCTTTTGGATCCCTAATGTTGGCAGGAATTATGCAAACAAAGATACACATATAAATCACCTAATTTGATAAGACCTCAAAGCCACAAGACTCAGCAGTGAAGCTCTATAGCAGATGAGATGGGGAGAATATTTACTTGAATTTCAATGAATAAATCAAAAAGACCCCAAATATAATCATCTAGTATTTACATAAGGGATAGTCACAAAGGAGAAAATGCAGCTATTATGCACACCAGGTAAAAAGGGGAGAAAACCTCATGTCTTGCAAAGTAATAAAATGTAATGCATCAGTAAATTTTCAATAAAAATAATCAAATGGGTTTTGGGTGTTAAATCATTAAAATTCTTTTCACTACAAGGCACCAATGGGGACTTTACAGAGAATCGTGCTTGAATAATGTAATACATGTACTTCAAATATATACCTTACTGGTCTGAGAGAATAAATTGAACTTGATTATTATGCTTGACGTATATAATTAAGGACAGTTTTAAAAAGTTGTGCTAATTAACACTATAAGAAGCTTTCTACGGGGAGATTTAGAGAGCACAATCAGCCCCACCCCATTAAATTTTCAAAAATCAGGATAAAACCATCATTCCCTTTTTTTTGAAAACTAGAAATTTGTCCATAGAACATGAATGCCCCGCCAAGGGTATATTAGCAATGCAACATGAAAATTTGTATCAGTGTATGAAATTTCTTAAGTAGAGAATATCTTCATCTTAAACATTTGACCTTGAATTAACCTGTGACCTTGACCCCACTTTTCTTAAAGTTTCATTTTGCTTCATTTTAAAGAAGCCATTTAAGACATTTTTGTGAGCTTTTGCATTGATACCTAATATGGTGACAATTCATCATCTATACCCAACTTTTTAGATTTCATTTTCAATTTTAAAGGAACATTCTACTGGATACACTAATATGTATCCATCAGCCTATTAAGTTTTATAAAAAAGAATTTGGATGGTTTATTTAAAACTGAGCTAAACACTACTTTATGAAATATGACATCAAGGTCAGAGGAAAGATCAAGGTCAAAAATGTTGATGCAGTTGAATAGCTTACATCAGTATGTATTTCAGTATATTGAGTGATTACACTATCTTGAATGGTTTCTTTAAAACTGAGTTAAACTCTAATTTTAGAAAAGTGGGGTCAAGGTCAAAGGAAAGGTCAAGGTCAAAGGAAAGGTCATGTTCAAAATTGTTGTTGCAGGTGAATAGCTCTCATCAGTATGTATTGAAATATGAAGTTTGATAAAAATATTGTGAATAGTTATAGAAGGACAGAGAGAAAACAGACATGTCAAACTATATATGCCCTTGCCATATTCATGTCAGGCATAAAAAATATAATCTGATAAAGGGATGAAAATAAAAGGCTGTTTATTTATTCTTGTGAGGTAGGAGCTTCTGAGTGAGGGAGCTTGACCTCTATAGCCTTTGACTTCAAAGACCTTAAAAATTTGTAACATTATTCTCATCATTAATCATTAGATAGAAATACAGTAAAACTCGGTTATAATGAAGTCACGGGGACCTATAAATTTACTTCGCTATATCCGTAATTCGCTATATCCATATTAGGAATACGTTAATTTTATATAGCTTGGGATCCAAAATAACTTCGCTATAATCGTGAATTTGCTATATCCATGTTCGTACTAAACGAGTTTTGCTGTAGTAAAAATGCCCACCAAGTCAACTTTTTCCCCTACAAACCATCTAAAATACAGAACCTTTAGAGGGCTTCCATCCCCCCTCTAGGCTTTCCCTCAAGAGTATCCCCTGGCTAAACAGCTGATCCCCTCCCCCCCCCCCCCCCCACCTCTAAACTCATCGTCCCAAGCCACAGGTTTTGTGTCCATTCCATGTGAAAATAGAATGGACCCAAAACCTGTGGTTTGCGATGATGCTATGAACTTTGAATTCTGGAATCACCCCTGGCTCTTTCAAGTTAACTTTTCACCAAAAGTTTAACTGATAAATCAAGAAGCATTTAAAACAAAATTACATCTAATTTTCTCTTCCACATGCAAATATAAATTATTTACATTTTACATGGAAAATATTTTACCAGTAACTATATATATTTGCTTTACATAGCAGTTCACAACCCTTACAAACAATAAACTCTTGATATAAGAGACACACTGTAGACTAAACACATCGGGACATGAAACCCAGGTTTCTCCCCTCGGGATACATGCCTACACAACCATTTATGATAGACTAGTGCTGATAAACCAAGGAAATGGACACAGGACTAAGTAATCGCACCATCAAAGCATTTCTCTGTTGCTTGAACTGTACACAGTTACTTAGTCAGAATTTCATCGCAGCAAGAAGGCGGCTGTTGGTCAATATTTGCATTCGCTGGAAACATTACCCTATTGTTGGCAGACAAAACTCCGCTGATAATACAACAAATTTATCTGGCTTTCCACTTGTAAGGTCCATGTGTATTGTTCCGATTTTCATTCAGTATTACAATTAGGCCAGGAAATGTTTACTCAATGTGGCTTATTATATTTTCAATTAAAAATTTTAAACATCAGCATAATCTTGCAGTCATTTTTCTGTGCAGACCTTCATTGATGACCCACATTCAGGTAGTAACATGCTGACAAGGAGAATTTTTAAACAGGTGTAGGCTTCAAATGCTGCATATTCTTGTTTAAATTCCAAATATGGCAAGATTTGAAGTTTCTGTTTCATATACAGGTGTTAAACACATTATTGATAAATATATTTTAAAGTTGGATTCTGTTCTTTTATACCATAAATACTGGTATATTAACCCCATCCTACCTCATTCTAAAAGATCAAGATAGGTTAGTGTTTAGGGTGCTTGATTGGTAACCTACAGGTATTCTTGATCCCAATCCATATCCAACCAAAGATGATTATCTCAAGAAGTCTCTTTGCTACATATCTAGCATTAGAAATAAAAGTAATAGATCTTTGGGGGTATAATTTTGAAATTAAAATGCATGTTCCATGTCCTGAAAGGTGTAGGCACAGTGAAGAAGTCAAAACTTCAGGCACCTCACCTTAATGTGCTAGTGATGCCTCTACTTTAATGACAAACTGAGATTATTACAGGTAATAAAAAAAATTACAAAGCTCAACTCAACATATGTTATCTAAAAGTATGGCAAATCTCACAATTCTCACAAAATCTCATAACTCTAGCTAGAGTGCATCTCTAGATGTATTACCTATGCAATTTTGGACCAGGTACAAGTACTGCTCCTTGAGAATGGGCCTACTCCAAGAAACACAACCTGTTCACTCATCCAAAAACAGAAGTCAGCTCCAACATCTGATGCAAAGCTCAGAGGTAATTTCCATTGTTAGATACATCATCCAGGCAAATTTAATCATAAGAGCCATATACAGTTGAACTTCAGTATCTTAAACACCAATATCTCAAATATCATGGATATGTTGAAGTGATTTGGTAGTCCCAACCACTTATACTTTAAGAATTTCACCCTCGATATCTCGAATCATCAGATATCTCCTACCGTAAATCTTGAAATTTTTACGTCGATTTTATTTTGCGAATTCGGGTCAAAATGCTGTTGATTAATTTTTATGTTTCAAAATTTTGCGAATGACCAGTGCTTTGTTTACATTTACTTTTTGGTAGGGATGTCAACGAGTACCCGGTTAACCGGGTACTCGATCGAACGTCCGAGTATCGAATACTAAAATCGGTACTCGGTTACTCGGATGTATATTTTTTAATATTTCTAAGCTTATTTATTAATGCATTAAACATCGGTTTTAAAACGTGAAATTTTCAGTGCACTTGTACATACAGTAATTAGGGTTTCCTGCACCTCTAAATGACCGTTATCGCCTGTGGCAGTGTTTATACAGTAATTACCGAGACCAAGCACCTGCTACCTACCTGGCTTTTCTCACCTTCGGCTGTCTTCTACCCTTATGTTTAGTTTGCTCTAATTATTTGTTTTCATTGAACATCGTTTAAGGTCTATTATGTTTAAATAAGGCCATCCTTAAAAAAATGTTCGTTTGGAATTGCCGCCTGAAGGGTTTCAGACACAGGAGGGAGGGAGGGAAATTATTTTTTTTTAATTGAAGATAAATTTTAAATTTTTTATAAAAATCTCAGTAAACAGTAAATACGTATACATTTTCTTACTTTTAAAAAAAGTATGTACCATCAACAATAAAACCTAATTCTACATAGGTCTGACATGTGATAAATGTAATGGGCAAAAAAATTGATTAAATAAAAAAAAATCTTCCTACTTTTGGTCAATAAAATTTTTTCAGGAGGGGGCATTTCAATGAGGCGGGAGGCAATTCCAAACAAACTATAATTTTATTTTGGCCTAAATTAGATAATTTTGTCCTCCAGAAGCCGTAAATTCTTGAAGAAAGAGACAGACAATATTGCACGTGCGATTGTTGATATGGATGCGTTTGGTTACATGCCAATTAATAAAAATTGTTAAATGCAAAGATTTTAAAAATCTTATGTCCACCATTGCACCAAACTACAACATACCGTCTCGTAATTTTATGAAATCTAGGATCGAAAAATGTACGAAGATCGTAAATCCGCTCTGTTACAGGAGAACTTGATAAAGTTGATACTGTACATTGTAGCTCTGACGACTTGTCACTTGGACGTTAAACGCACCAAAGAGTCACATTACAATTAGATATTTTTTAAACAAAACCACTGTGAACCATTTATGATTTTATTTCTCGGATTTATCTGGTGAATAAAGAACTTAAAAAATTTTTAGATTAAATTTCGTCGGGCACAAAGTGGTCATAATTGTTACAACACATTTACAGGTAAACCTCCCATCAGACCATGTGGTCTTATTTCTACAAGAGTTTACAATGTTTTACAGTTATCAATTTATATTAATTTAGACTTTACCGAGTACCCGGGTACTCGATCGGAAAAACGTCCGAGTAACCGAGTATTAAAAATTGACCGATTTGACATCCCTACTTTTTGGTAATTTATTTTTAAGAAAAATATTTTTGCGAATGCAATGAACTCGCAAATTTGCTAAAAATTTATCTACAGCAAAAATTTCCAGATTTACGGTAGTTTTTCCTTGGTCCCATCGAGTTTGAGATAATTTATTATAAGATTTGACTATAGTTGTAGAGCTACTCCAAAATCATATCCCTGGTCACTCATCTGGAAGCAAGTCTGTAAAGTGTACATACCTAGAAACATCATTTATGTTAGTTTGGTTAAAGTAGGGCTTACATTCACTCATCTGGCAAATAGAGGTCAGATCCAGCATCCAAAGCAGGGTTAGGTAATGACCATCACTAAATGCAACATCCTTTATAGTTTGGTCCAGATAAGGCTTATATTTACTTGGGAATGGACCTGCTCTGAAAAGTTTAATAATGCTGACACCTGTTTGCACATCTGATTAATGTAGGCCAGATCCAGCATCTAGAAGTGTCCATCCCTAGATGTGTCATCCATGTAAGTTTGGTCCAGAGAGGACTTATACTTATTGGGAATGGACCTGCTCCAAAAACTTAAACCAAGATGCTGTCTCAGACAGTATAGCATAATTAAGCTCATTTTGACTTCATTAAGGTGTGCTAAAAATTGGCTGCATTTCATTTCCGGAATTTTTTGTAATTATCAACTTTTCATTTCCGACATTTTATAGTTTTCATTTCCGACATTTATTTGTTTTCATTTCCAACATTTTTCAAATACCTATGTAAAGTCTACCTTTAGTAACAGATTTGAAGACTTTACTTATGAAAAAATATAAAGGAATAAATCATAAATAAATTATTGAAATCCAATCCCAGAGTTTTGTTAACCTATCAATGACTTGGACAAATGTTTGGTGCTGTCACTGACATTTAATATAGTGCACATTAAATGTGGTTAAAGGGTTTTATGCTCATTGAACTATGTTTTCCTAGGCATAGTGTTACATGTATGCATATGTTTTTTTTAAAATCAATATTTTGGTAGATATACTTTTAAAATTCCAATTTCATTTATTTAGAAAACATCAAATTGCCGCACAGGTAAATTCCGGAAATGAAAAAAAAATGTCGGAAATGAAAACAAAAAATGTCGGAAATGCTATGCATATTTCCGGAAATGAAATGCAGCGTAAAAATTGTAGAATGAGATGTCAAACAACCAGGGATATGAGGTAAACAGTTCTTTAATGGCACATATATGTATTGATTTAAATTCTGCATCCAGGTGTAAAAAATTCTTTCCATATTATAAAAGGTTTACTTTTCTGAGAAAATGAGCACATTTGATTGATAAAGTGGAGCCTGGTTTATAATTTAAAATACATTTTAATCATTGAATTGGATTGAACAGCAGGCATAAATGCCTATGATCATTCTTAGAGTTGGGTATTGCGAAGGAAATCCATATTGCGATATATTGCAATATTTTACTTTGAATATTGCAATATATTGCAATATATTGTAGATTAATTATCATTAATAAATTTGAGCAGAATATTTGAAATGCTGTCAAGTTCAAAGACTATTTGAATTTATCTTTAAGTTTAAAATGGGGAGGAGGGATAAGACATTGATTGCACACCAAATTAACACTTTACTTTTAATCAAATTCCAGGTAAAATAGTAAAACAAGATGAACTCTCTTGGAGAATTTTCACATTGAAATAAAATTTTTTACAGAATATATAATCTTTTTTCATTGAATTCTTTTTTTTTGGGGGGGGGGGGGGGGTTAATGAAGTAGCATAAAATGTTATTAAAGATTAAAACAATATACATATTAGGCCTATATGAAAATAATTTTATTGTGGTTACAAAATAAAATTTAAAAAATCAGAAAGAAATTGTGACCTGTTTTCGTGCGTTTTGATAATTTAGTCTAACCCGACCTAATTTCACATCAAGACGTACAATCAGGAAATGGCCTGTTTTAATATATACCTGCTCCTGCTATAGCATAAGGTGTTTAAAATGGCATGAAAGTTATTAAAAATAATTAAAACAACACTGCTACAAGTGGAAACATGGATGACCATTTACTTGTAATATGTACATGTATATTGAACTTGACATTTCACCGCGATGTCGATCGTGTAGATTCAATGTGAGATTTTGAGAACCGCAATGCATATGGTATACACCCTGTAAAAATGTTTTATATATTTTCTTTCTTATAAATTTTATTTTAAAGTCTTATTAAATAGTAATTTTATTTCAAAGTAAGATATTCAAAACTGCAACAGTGAATTAAAAGCTTTCACCCCTCTCTCTCTCCTCTCTCTTTCTGTCTCCGAACGAAACTGACGAAGAATTCTTTCAACGAGAAACAAAAAGACTTAGAAGTTTCCAGTTTTATTTTAACAGTTTCTACAATAAAGGAAGTTTTTATATATTTTTATAAATATCGTGAAATACCGGTATCTGATTTTCATATCGCGATATATTATCGTGGTGGATAATACCGCAATATACCGATATACCGGTAATATTGCACATCCCTAATCATTCTCTCCATAGAGATGCTTTGGTTCCTAGACAAAACTGACAATTTCATTTGACAAAATATCCTTATGTCTTTATTCAAGCATTGAATTATTATTTTTTGAAAGATGTAGTCTACTGTGTGCAAACAGAGTTCGTTAGTGGGTTATGAAAATTTGTTTGCGAACTATGTTGCAGTTAAGAGACTACATCTTTCAAAAAATAATAATTTAATGCTATATATATTTATATTTTACTCTCTTCCTTGCACTTGTTTGGCATTCATTTGTTACGTCAAATTAAAATCAGACTTAAATCTTCTGACTTCCACATCCATGCAGGTGTTTAGAATGTCATATCTTTCCACATGATTTATAAGCAAAATGCATGTGAAATGTAAATAGTACTGGTTCGAGTCAATTTTATTCAGTTATTATCCTCAAGATGTGCCAAGACTTACTGAAAATGGCAGTGCTATAGACATTACCCAAAGCAAAGAAAGACAACTTGGACACTCACCAAGCCAGCAATGGGACCAGGCAGTTTGTTGATTCGCTTCACAGATCCTGGTTTCAGATTGTTCAGAAGCCTGTAAAAAGATGGAGTAGAATAGATATCAAAGTTCAAATGAAATCAAATTTCAGTCAACAACTGCTTAATCAATATATTTATGCATAATTTGATGGATTTCAGATAGTGCAAAGTTTAAAAAAATTCTTAACTATATTAATAATGCACAAACTTTTAAGATATAAAGCCGTAAAAGAAAACAAGAGGCAAAAGGAGCACAGTACACTTGAATCACTTTAGGCATACTGTTCTGCATCAGCTCTTTTTCCCCAATTTACATTTATTCCTATGTAAAATGTTGATTGTCTTCTGACCCCCCCCCTCCAATACAGGGGCCATGATTTGAACATAAATAAATTAACATTACAAGAAGATGCTCCCACTTTAATGTGATTCATCATAGTATTGTTGTTCTTTTGTGACCCCACCCTACCTGTGATGACCATAATCTGAACAATTAACATTCTACATTACCTTAAAAGGCTTCAACTTAAGTTTCAACTTTTCTGTCATCCAAGTTCTTAAGAACAAGAATTTTGAAGATTTATCCTAATAAACATTTTAATTTCTAATAACTTTAATAATTTTAATAACTTTGATTTCCTACTGCCCCCCTCCCACCCAGGGGCCATGATCTAGACAAGGTATACCAGGGTAATTTACACTACCTCTGAAAGCTTGTACCTAAATTTTATTTTCTCTGGTCCAATGATATTTGAGAAGATTGATTCTGCCCTATCTTGCCTTATCTTGATTATTCCCCTTGGAAGAGAGCTTGATCTTATAAGAATTTTAAATTTCCTTTACAACAGGGATTCATTGTTCCAACTTTGGTTAAAATTGGGCCAATGGTTCTTGAAAAGAAGTTGAAAATGTGAAAAGTTAACTTTACAGATGGACAGATGTTATCAGAAGAGCTTGCATAAGATTTCAGCTCAGGTGAGCTAAAAATTACCAACAAGTCTACCTAAAATAAAAATAGGAAAAATGATTTTTCCATGAACTATTATTTTGTAAAGGAAAACACAGTGTTTTAGCTAAAAAATCTTGAGTAATTTAATTTTTTGTTATCTTTATACAGAACTCTCTTTCTCTGGGTGTAAAGAGTCTAAACTTGGCTATGACCACCCAGTCCTCTTAATGGAAAAAAAAGAAATTTTTAATGGGAAAGGATAATGAAGACTTGAACAAAGAATGATCAAGGATGTATTATACAGAAAAAAAAAATTCTGACCTTGACCTCTGACCTAGAAACTTAGTTCAAGGACCTGCCACATCTTTTACTCAAGGACACTCTATGGGTATTTGTGAAAAGGGTGTCATGAACAGATACAAGAAAGTAATCTCCAGTGGATGTATCGAAACCTTTCTTAAAAATGAAATGATTGCATTTTGTAAATGAATGAGATTTACAGAAACAGATTTTCTGCTTGTATTACTCATGCAATTATGTAAGACTACTACGTCATAATGTTAACTCAAGCGCTGCTTTTTAGTGCGCCTTTTTGAGCCTTTGCGCTAGAGAGCTACTTGTGCTATTTGGTAAAGGTTTGGTTTACTTGCAATGGGACTTATTATATTTCCCCCTACAAGTAAATCATGATTGTACTATTGCAAAAAAGTAACTTAGTCTAACTTTGCTTTGTTATGATTGACCGATTGATTGTATGTCGTTTTACGTCCCATTCGAGAATTTTTCACTTATATAGAGAAGTCACCACATACCCATGAAGGGCTTCAATTTTTTACTTTTACTTGGCACTCAGGGCTATTGAGCAGTGAGATACAGGTAAACTTCATTATCTCGACATCGATGGGACAATCAGGAAATGTTGAGATATCCGAGGTGTCGAGATATCAGAGTTGAGACTCGACCTCCTTAATTTTACTGCATAGTAAAACCATAGACCTAAACTGCACAGACGTGTGACTACTGACTACCTACATGTCTTCAATAGACTGTAGCTCGTTCGTTTCAGCTATCCCTCTACATTGTATATATTTATTAAAATATCTAAGAAGTTATTCATAAATGTAATTTATGAAATACTTTCTTTTTTATCGAAATCTTCTCATTATACTAAAAACAGTTTTTCATCTTCCTTTCGATCCGCGTGCAACTAGCTCTGTCAAAACAGGATACGAAATGCGCTCTATAAACTCCAAACCGGAACGGTAGAAAGTTGACTTCCGTGATATGAAAAAAAAATTTATTTCATTTCATTTCACTTCATTTTTATTTTATAATCATTCATCATTAATTTTCATTTCATTTTCAAACCAAAATTTAATTGGAACTGCGCATTAAACAAACCTAATGATGTTACACATTCATTTATACTATGGCTGATGCAATAGATGCAATAGTCGTGCATGTCGTAGATTTGATTGTTTCCTGTTGAATGCATTTCTACCACAATGTTTAAGTTAATATACTGTTTATTGTTTTTCAGTCCTTTTTTTTTACAAAATGATAAAGTTGTGTTAGATTTGGACATACTTAATAAACAGATTTACATTTATGCAGAATGGAGAAGATTTATCAATGATATTACCCAAGCTGAACATTAAACAATTAACGTCTCAGGGAGGCCGAGGGGGCTTGGGATTCCTCTACAAACACATTTCTATAGAATCGTATGTAGTCAAAACGTAGGTGTGAAAGGTGTGAATTTCTGACGACGTCAAGATACACAGAGTTGTCCGTGCGTGACGAGCGACTAATTTAGGTTCAGTAGAGCAGAAAATTGCCCCGATGTCGACATATACCAGGTAAATTTTGCTCTTAGGACTGTGAATATACGTCGAAATAAGCGGGGTAGTCGACATTACCGAGGTCGACATATCAGAGTTTTTGCAATTCATTTATATAGTAAATAATGCCGGGACTGCAGACGGACGTCGACATATCCCAGGTTGTCAACATATCCGATGTCGAGATACCAAAGTTTACCTGTATCTTTATCTTACCAACACCTGTGGTGACATAGGACCTTTGTTTTTTTTTAAGATCTCATCTGAGGGACACACAACTTCACTTCAAGTGCCAAGCACATGGCGAAGGAGCAGTTGCTACCTAATTTTTATTGACTGAGGTCAGTCACATCCAAAATTTGAGCTCACAGCCTCCCGATCACAGAGCGAGTACTCTACCAACTGAGCTACAGTGAACAGTGTGCTTTTTTATGAATTAAAATTTATTAATGATTTTTCAAAATTAATGTATGAATAGCTGCTTTTAAACATCCCCTACATCTAGCCTGCTACAAAAATGACAAAGAGTTGAAATATGTATATTTCCTCTGTGCTCCTATCTAAGAAGTTTATAAGAAAATCTTTCAAATGCCTTTTAAGAACTTACTCGCACAGAAGTACGCCATTTTCAAGAGACTTTCTGAAGTCATCAGGATGTGAAAACTTTTTCCTGGTCACAGCCTGTAAGTACAATAACATAGTCAATAACAATAAGACAACAATAAGACTGTTAACCAAGGGTGCATCATTTGAAATTTTAAAAATAACAAGAGGCCCAGGGGCCACATCGCTCACCTAAGCAATTGGCTAGGAAAAAGCACAGATCAGATCAGAATTGAAAGTTTCTGAGGGGGGGGGGGGGGGGGGGGGGGGAGGGGGCTTGAATTTTAACCCCCAGGGGGTCATGATTTAGCAAACTAGAATCTACACTACCTGAGGATGTTCCCCTATAAATATCACTAAGCAAGGCTTTGAAGTACTTGAAAAGAAGATTTTAAAAGGTTACCCTATATGTATATTCCTATGTAAAATTTAGATAAGCCATTTGGCCCAACCCTACCCCCGGGGGTCATGATTTGAACAAACTTGAATCTACACTACCTGGGGATGATTCCACATGAGTTTCATCTTTCCTGGCCCAGTGGTTCTTGAGAAGAAGATTTTTCCTATTTATTCCTATGTTAAACTTTGATCGGCCATTTTGGACCCATCCTACCCCCGGGGGTCATGATTTGAACAAATTTGAATCTACACTACCTGAGGATGATTTCACATGAGTTTCATCTTTCCTGGCCCAGTGGTTCCTGAGAAGAAGATTTTTAAAGATTTTTCCTATATATTCCTATGTAAAACTTTGATCGGCAATTTTGGCCCCACCCTACCCCCGGTGGTCATGATTTGAACAAACTTGAATCTACACTACCTGAGGATGATTCCACATGAGTTTCATCTTTCCTGACCCAGTGGTTCTTGAGAAGAAGATTTTTAAAGATTTTTCCTATATATTCCTATGTAAAACTTTGATCGGCCATTTTGGCCCCACCCTACCCCCGGGGGTCATGATTTGAACAAACTTGAATCTACACTACCTGAGGATGATTCCACATGAGTTTAATTTTTCCTGGCCCAGTGGTTCTTGAGAAGAAGATTTTTTAAAAATGCCATTAATTTTTCTCTAATTCATCGTTATCTCCCCTTGGAAAAGGGCGTGGCCCTTCATTTGAAGAAACCTGAATCCCCTTCACCTAAGGATACTTTATGGCCAGTTTGGTTGAAATTGGCCCAGTGGTTCTTGAGGTTGAAATTGGCCCAGTGGTTCTTGAGAAGAAGATGAAAATGTGAAAAGTTTACAACAACAACGACGACGACAATGACGACAACAACGACAGACAACGGACAAATTGTGATCAGAAAAGCTCACTTGAGCCTTTGGCTCAGGTGAGCTAAAAAGTGTTTGTAACCTCTAATTTTCATAGTATAACAGCTTATGACAAAAGTTAAAGTTTCTCAAATGCAAGTCAAAGTATGGAAGGGAATTACCGCCAAAAGTCTATGTATCTTGCTTTTATTCTTATTCTGCCTACTTCTTTATGCTTTGTTATTATTGTAACTATATGTCACTTTATTGTTTTCATATTCGTCTTTATTACATTTCACTTTGACTTTTATCCTTCTTCATTTTGTCTTTACTTCTATGTTGCTTTATTCTTGTAAATTCATTCTACTTTCTTTTAAACTAACAAGGAAGCATATTCAATGAAGACGAATGGAAGTTGTCAAACCGTCAAAATTTAGTGCCGCATTATAACGCTAGGTGGCAGGGGTGTTCGCTACGAGTGTTGGTAAAATTAGGTAAGCAAACCCAGGTCGGGTTATTTGAGATTATTCAATAGGCCTTAGTACTTTATCAATCGAACTTCTGAAGGCCGAATCCGATCACCCGATCCAATGATGGAAACTCCATATTTATTTTCTCTGGGCACACAGGAATAGCGGCCTCTTTTTTTCAGACATAACTTTATAATATACTGAATAAGTTCATTAAAAGGCCGACCCACTTTTTGTAAGAGTAAGGGTCAAATAAGTTAATGTAGTACGTATAGTAGGAAGGAAATTTAAATTTGATTCTATAGAAGAAGTTGAATCTAAATCAAAACCCACCCCGCCCCCGAAATAGGATTTCATTGAAAGTTGGGGGGGGGGGGGTAAGTGTAAGAATTTTTCTTAGACCTTCAAAAATAAAACCTGACAAGCAAAAAAAAATGTCCATTTTCCAAACACAAAAGTCCTATTTCGTGAGGAGGGTTTGGGTGGGTTGAAGGTTCGAACTCCAGTGCCAAAGTTTTTTTTTCCAAATGCCACCACTTTCCCCATTTTAAACCTTTACTGCATCGTGTCCATGGAAAGTGGGGGGGGGGGTTAAACCTACGCAGGAATGTTCAATGTCTATACTTAGTCTATCTTTGAAAAGAAGTGGGGGCTAAGCCCCCCCCCCCTTCCCTGGTTCCGACGCTTACGTATTTTCAAGTTTGGACAATTTCCTGGGGTTTATTTTGCGCTTGTCAAGTTGTTTTCACCCGGGTAGCTTGAATTTTTATTCTCTTGTTGCCCCCCCCCTCCCCTCTTTCAAAAACAATGCTACGTCACTGTTCTCTCGCCTGAAAATGTAACTCTACTAAAGTTATTTGTTGGATATTTGAATTACAGTTTAATTGATATAAAAATGTTAAATATTTTGATACTAGTTAACCCTTATAAATTGGGATGTTTTTCAGAACTTCCACTGAACTGAACTTTATTTCACGACAGATAGTAACTGCTGATACGCGTGATTCTAGGGACAGGGCTTTGCAAAGGAGTGAGGAGCGTTATGGGTAGGCAGGTGCGGATTCAGAATTTTTTTCCAGGGGGGGGGGGGGGGGGGGGGGCAACCCAGTCAAAAAAAAATCCAATCCCAGAAATTTCTTAACAAGCATAAAAAGAAGAAAAAAACCTAAACTCGCTCAAACGTCAAAATTCGATTTCGGTGGGGGGGGGGGGGGGGGTAACTTTTTTCCCTTGTTTTAATAACCTTGTAAATTCCAGGGGGTCCTACCCCCCTCTAGATCCGTGCATAGAATGCGAAGTCGGAACCAGACTACATGCACCCAGGCATACTAGAAACACCCCAGTCTTTTTTTCTGCGTTAATATTTTATATTAAAATTGCACTTTTCAATAAAGAAAGAAATATCTTTAGTACGCACCGTGTTTGTCATCAACCAAGAGCTAAAAAAATCTTAAAACTCGAAAATTCTATTTGGTGGTGGTGAAGGGGGGGGGGGGGGGGGGGGTCGTCAACTTTTTTCAATAATAAATTTTACTCATATGCCACTAAGTACATGACTTTTAATATATAAATTGACTATTAGTACTGCAACAAAAAGTGTAAGGGATGAGGAGCAACAAGCCTTTCGCTGAACTTTTCCAGTAGTAAAAAGTTACATTTAGGAAACCCTCCCCTCTTCCGATGAAACTTACCCCATAGGAGGTCGTCCACCCGGAAGTCAGTATATATATTGAGACTTTGGTGGTGTGATTGTACATTGTATAATTTCCATTTGGAGAATTTTTCACTCAAATGGAGAAGTCACCTCTTGCCGGTGGAGAGCTGCAAATTTATCCTATATACTCAGCACTAATATAGCCATTGAGCAGTGAGGGATCTTTTTTCGTGCCAGCACCTACTGCGACACGGGACCTCGGATAATATGGTCTAGATCTCATCCGAAGGACCGAACTCCACGTCCTATAGTGGGATTCGAACCCAAGACTTATTGGTCGACTCCTTATTACTGTACTTCGTGACTCTATATAGAGCAGACGCAGTAACCACAGTGCCACGCGGGCGACTGCATCCAGGGAGGGGGCATCTTCCCAGGTCAAGAGTTTCTGATCCGCTCCACTTCACATAAACCCTTGACCGAATAGGCTAAGTTTGACGGGGTTAGAAATGCGTTCTCTGAATGGTCTCATGCAAGTTTGCATGAACCAATCAAAATCATTGTTTTATTTAAACTGAAACTACATCGTAAACAGAAAAACACGTCAGTTTTAGTCCCAAGGGTAACATATTTTTCATTAAATAGCTCTTTTAAAGGTTTGTCTCAGCTTATTAGTTGAGTTATATTGAATTTATTACCGACTACCAATATTATCTTGAATTCTCTTTTGAATTTGTTTACTCTGATTGGCTAATAGCAGAGGTCAGGAGAGTTCAAAATATGTAATCTCACAAGATGGCGTGACAGTAAACCCCGTCAAACTTAGCCTATTCGGTCAAGGGTTTATGTGGAGCGGAGCGGATCAGAAACTCTTGACTTGGGAAGATGGGGAGGGGGGGTATATATATTGTATATATAAACATTGTTTTACGATTTAAAAAAACTATCCGGGGGAGCTGGGGTTGCTAGGAATGGGGGCGAATTGCTATATATAGCGAGATTTCCCACGGAAGACTAGCTATACATTGAAACTTCCTCGGGGGAAGTCCCACTGTATAGTCTTCCGAAGGAAGCATCACTATGTAGTCAGTCTTCCAGAGGAAATCTTACCATCTAGCGAGACTTCCGAGGGAATGGCATGTATCGGGTACATACCTGAACTTCAGTCATTTAAAAATTTAAGTTTGATTAATAAGTTTTAAAGCAGAAAATTGAAAAAACTCGAATAACCCCGGCCCAGGTTTGCTTACCTACTTTTACCAACACTCTTAGCAAACACCCCTGCCACCTAGCGTTATAATGCGGCACTAAATTCAGACAACTTGTATTCGTCTTTATTGAATATGCTTCATTGTTTGCGTGATTTGAGTTAACGTTCGTAATAGATATAATCATTTAAGAAACTGTATCAATTTAAAAGAAAGTAAAATGAATTTACAAGAATAAAGCAACATAGAAGTAAGGGCAAAATGAAGAAGGATGAAAGTCAAAGTGAAATGTAATAAAGACGAATATGAAAACAATAAAGTGACATATAGTTACAATAATAACAAAGCATAAAGAAGTAGGCAGAATAAGAATAAAAGCAAGATACATAGACTTTTGGTGGTAATTCCCTTCCATACAAAATTCAATGTTAAGATCAAGAAATTGTTGATATCAAAGACAGGACATGTCTCAAAGAATATAATTATGAAATATCAAAGTGACCTTGCAC